TACATTAGACATGGTGTTTAATGGCATTTCTCCACTGCATATGGACTTTAAACTCAGAAGAAGAATCCTTTTTCTCTTGTCTATCAAATCAAATCCTGATATGATTTAGTGTTTCTTTCAGCTATAGGGAACAAGATATGATGCAGTTCTTAGACATGGGCTATTCAGGTTGACTAAGAAAGGCAAGTAGGACAGAAAAACCTACTTGTTGGACTTCATTTTTACATATTTTGTTGCATTCTTATGTTCTGCTATGCAAATCATGAAATATAACACAGAAAAAATAACTAAGAACTTTGCTAATTTATATTTCAGGAAACAATTTCCAAGACTTATCCACTCAAGAGCAATGTTGTCTCATACTGTTTTGTTGGAAGGCAGACTTATGATGCTCATAATGGCAGTTCATTAGATAGTCACTTCCCCTTCTTGAATTCAGCTTTTTATCAAGCATGCAAAAAGCAAGGTTTGTTCCTTGGGAAAGGCCTGTTTTGTAGCGATTTTAACTGAAAGAAATCTTACACGAAATTACATAAGAGTCTTCCCTTTTACCCTTCAAAGACAAAAAATATTCTTTAGCTCTTGTTTCTCAGTTGTCTCTAAGAACTATCAAATTGATAAGTAAGAACTAATGGACTCCATATCTACCTCTCCAAAAAACTGAAGGAGAGAGAAGAGAAAAAGAAAAATTCATAATAGCAGGGGAAAGAAAAAAGCATGCTTTTTAATTGCTATACTAGAAATAACCTTACGGAGAAGTTTTAAGTTCAGTTTTAAAACACACAAGAATTCTACTAAATTCCCATATAGTTTTGTGGAGACATGTTATCTCACACCAAAATCTCTCCTTCCTCAGCCTTTTTACTGCAGATGCCATGCTTACAGTGAAGTGAATAAAAAGCATAAAAATGAAAACTTGAGAGCAAAAATCTTGAGAGATGCTATTACACCTAACATTGTCAGACAAACCTACACTGGCACTGGATTAGCACTTCTCTTTCCACTTCAGTAGAATTTCCATTCTAAGCAGACTTTACTGAAAAGTGAAGATGTATCTACTCTGAAGGCAGCTCTTACATCTCAGACTTAGGTTGATTGTTCAGATATCATGTAATTTACCAGCTGTCATATACTCTAACAATTTTATTTTAAATATAGAATTATCTACTCTTTTCAAGATCTTCCCAGGATACATTCAAGAAAAACTCATATTTCCCAAATCATAATTTATCTTTTTCACCATGGCAAGAATCATAAATAATAAGGAAGAGACATACAGCTTCTCAGGTGGCAAAATTTTCTTCCATTTATTAAGTACAGTTTTGAATTATGGCATTCCAGTCCTCTAGCAACTTTGTAGGTGTTTTTCCTGACTTTCATTTTTTCATACTATTAGTAGTTACTCTTTCAGAGGTAAATGCTGAAAAGAAATATGAAGATAAGGAATGGTAGGAGGTAAACTGAAAATTTATTAAATCAAATAATTCATGTTTCCTCTCCTGTCATTACTATTGCCCATATAATGTTAAGTGCACACTGAATCTTGTATTTTGTGTATAATTAAGGTTTTAGTAGAAAAGGCAGAGTTGCATTTTGCAGTTTTACAGTGTTTGGTCTCAAGTTACAACATTGCTTTCCATTTTATGATCAATAAGACGTATTACAAGCCTGCCCTCCCAAAACATATGCCAAGCTGCTTTTAGAACATATTTATTTTTTAGTACCAGTAAGGGCAGAAGATGTGGAGATAATAAACTCCTTGCTAATGTTCTCTCTAAGCTATTGAGATCTTAATTCTTGCAAGAGAAGAGTCTTGATGAATGACAGTTATCTTCAAATTTAGATGGAAGTAATAAAGATGTATATTTAAAACCTTTCTGCACAACAGTAGCTTAGGCTTGGCTCACTATCACATTTCACTTTAAGCAGCTTAAGTATCAAAGGAAAGACTGAGAAATGTGGCCTGGATAGATCTTCATTTATTTAGTAGGAATGGATCACCCAACAGACTAGTTTGAGCTAAAAGGAGCTCCATGGTCAAGAAATATTGCTAGTCAAAGCTAATTCTTTATTCAAAGGAGAGTGTTTGGATTATAAGATGCAGGCACACAAATGTTAAGCAAAAAATGGTAATTGCTTTCTGATCTAGGCTGTAGCAAGAACTAATCTTCTTAAAATTGGTGATATTAAACAAGTAACAACAAAAACTCATACAAAATTGAGGATATTTGGGACTTCCAGTTGGGTCATATAAACTTTTACTATACCTTGACTGACGTTTTTCCTTTATGACACTTCTAACTGTTCCACTGAAAAAGCCCGTTTAAATGCTTCATTTAAGGCTAACGTGATTAAAATCACAGAACTGAGCTTGTTTGGAGGTTCTAGCAGGGGAGCGCAGCTACCGTATACCCTTGACAGATGAACAGTATGTCTCTATCATGGAAGGTTGTCCTCTTCGACCAAGTGCACAGCTTTGGAAGGGACACACATGGAGGGAGAAAGGGGACACCCCTCTAGCCAGCCAGATAGCTGAATCAATCCTGGCCATCAATGGGGTGACAGCTGTCGCAGCCAAATTGCTCTCACATCCAAGATCATCAGAGTAGACACATCTAATACAAGATCATCAGATCCTCTCTGCCCCATTTAGCAGAAAGAACAGTGCAATAGCAGACACCAATCCCTTTGGGGGAAGTAAAAGCAAAAAGGCAAGAGGAAAATGAAGGCCAAAAGAGAGGATTTGCAGAGACAGTGAGGCAGGACATCTGTGGAGCAGAACAATATAAGATCACACAGTTAAGAATTTTTATTATGCAGAGGTGTAAGATCAAAACCATGAATTTCATAATTTGACAAACTTTTCTCCTTTTTTTAAATTATTGTAACTTTAGCAATGCTCATGTATGTAGTTTTGTGAGAAAAATCGAAACAGAAGCAAAAGAATAGGACATGCTCACGTGCATACACTAAACTATTTCTGTTGTCCACTGGAAAACAGAACACAGAACTCATGAACAAAAAAAAAAGCTATATACAAGTCAATATAGGCAGGTAGCATCTGTAACTTCCCACACAGCATATGTAATGTGCCTTCTCATTCCAATCTCACATTTCTCTGAAAGCAGAAAAGTACAATTAAGTGAAATTGTAAGAGAGAACTGTAATGCAGATAAATGCCCCCTGTCAGTAACCACAAAATTCATCTTGACTTGTGACCCAGAGCCAAATCTGCAAGCAGGTCTGCACAAATGAAGATATTAGCCTACTGAATTATCTGCCCTATTAGCCTGATTTAATAGAATTTATTCTTATTTTCTGAGAATGCCAGCATTGTCATTAAATTGTTCTTCTTGTGTGGCAATTTTGGGGAGCCTTTAGAACTAAATAATTGTAAAAACCCTACTGTACAATTGCTGATAACTATGAGAAAACTCATTAAAAAACCATACTCATTTTAATGTTCTTATTTATTATATACTTTTAGGCAACTAAAACAACTCTTTCAGTAATTGGCTTCTTGAAATGCATCATCAGTAGAAGTTCCACTTGGACTTCCATTTGTGGCTTTTTGCACAGTAGTGTCCACTAGATCTGAGCTTTACAGTTCAGATTCACTCTATTCATCTCTAGATATTATAACTCCAGTACAAGTTTAATGCAAAATAAGATGCATTTTAACATTCATATGCTCCCCAATGAGTTCCCACAGGCCAGAACAAGGCTAGTCATGCCTCAACCTCTATGTGTTACTAGAGTCTACAATAAAGAGAACAGACACTGGGGTTGAGGAATATATACATGCAGCACTTACGGTGAGCCACAACACTGGCCAGGTAGCAAGCCATTCTCTCTGCAAGTTATCATTTATACACACGGGACTCAGATAACACCCAGCAGATCAGACTGTTTGTGATTGTAACACAGAAAATAATACATTGCAAATACACCTACTTACTGTAGGGTACATTAGTTTAGCTAGGGAATCTCCCTGAGTTAGTCACAAGATGAGACCCAAACTATGAGGTGACAGGTAGAAATCTATTTCTATTGGGTGCAAAGGTATAGGCTTATCAGCAGAATTATTCAACCCATTAGAGAATATCTAGTATAATTTGCTTCTATACAGAAAAAATAAGAAAAGCAATGGAATATTCAAAGCATATGCAAGATAGAGAATATGCCCAAATAAGATTTATGGAAGATGATATGCAAATAGGTTATCCATAATTCAGAGAGGTCAGAAATCACTCAAAAAAAAAAAAAAAAACACTAGAAAAAATGTTTTAAATATGTGGCTTATGAGTCATTATTCTGGAGTTCTTCCCTGCTCATCACCAGACTGCCCTTTCTGCGTGTTAACTACCCATCCAAAATTAAGTCTGAAAGACACAATGAAGTTAGGGTCAAGAAGCAAATGGGAGAAATCATGCAAGGAAAGAGAAGTAATAATTACTAGTGCTTGAGCAGTTTATCTGATTTGAATGCCAGAACTACCTAGGTCAGTCTTAAATGGAACAGGTCATTTTGCCTAACCTTACTCAAGCAATCATGAGGCATCAAACTAACCTTGCAAATAGGGCAAGATTTATAATCTGGAACCTCAGTTCCCATTGCCTTCCTAAATGGCATTAGAGTAAAGGCAATACAAAAATTACTCTAAAAATTCTGAAAAGTTAGCTCTCAAACACACCAGAGTGCTTCCTTCCTGAGATCATTAATGGAAAGAATAAAGTAAGAAGGTTCACCAAACTTCACCCTTTATGCCTAGTTAGAAACTGTAAGAACACGGAAAATATTTCATCAACACTGCCAGTCAAAAGGTGCTGATCTTGGACCACAGAAACAAAAGGAAAGGATATACATATTGGTAGGCAATAACTTCCCCCCCAGAAAATACTTTCAGTGGCAAGTTGTCACAATATCTCTACGAACAACAGTTTTAGAAGTCCACAAAAGGGAGTATTAGGAGGAAGAGTATAGTGAAAGAATTATTTCACCTTTTTGACAATCTTTCCACACAGATTTTCGATTCTTCTCATAATGGTTATTCAGCCAGATGAGGATGGTTCGTTCATATGGAGAATATATATTACTGGATAAAGGTTCAGATTTTATTCTCAGCATTTTCTGTGTGCTTTCCAAGCTGAACTGATCAGTACTGTTTCGTGAAGAAACACGTGGAAGAACAAACACCTGAAATTAGAAAAAGTGTGTTTAAGCATGAACTATAAAAAGAATTTCAATTGGAATGATAAAAACCCACTTCAAACTCAAAAGGTTTCCTAATTTAGAAAAGTTTTAAAAGATTACACATTAGCATAAACATCTAACACAAAAGAGAACAGATTTGCTGATGTTTTAGGGAATTCCTTTGCTTCCTTAAACAAAAAGCAAACTGAAGCTTCCAAATGGTCTTGGGAGTCTGGAGAGGTCCCAGTCGACTGGAAGCTGGCAAATGTCCCAGTTTTCAAAAAGGGTAAGAAGGGAAAAGGGCCAACTGTGTTCTGGGTTGCATCCAGCACAGCATAGCTAGCCGGTTGGGGGAGGTGACTGTCCCACTCTGCACTGCACTGCTTGTCACCTAAATCCCACTAATCCAAGCTAAACACTTCAGTACCATATTTTCTTCTGAAAATCTCTCTTTGAATTGGAATATTGACATGTTTGCAGCGCCTGAAATCTCCCCAAAATGAGAACAGTTCATAGTGATATACGCATGAGCAAACAAAGACACGTTCAAAGACCAGCTTGAGCATTGTGTGCAGTTTTGGGCACATCAGTATATAAAGCACATCAAACTATTACTGTGTATCCAGAGAAGGGCAACCAGGATGGTGAAAGGTCAGACTTAGGAGGAGTGGCTGAGGTCACTTGGTTCATTCAGCTTAGAGAAGAAAAGCCTGAGGGGTGACCTCATCCAGTCTACAACTTCCTCAAGGACGGCAGCAGAGGGGAAGGTCTGATTTCTTTCTCTCTGTTGACCAGCAACAGGACACAGGGAAAGTAATGAAGCGACACCAGGAGAAGTTCAGATTGGGCATTGGGAAAAGGTTCTTCACTGAGAGGGTGGTTAGTCACTGGAACAGGATCCCCAGGGATGGGGCACCAAGCCTGTCAGAGTTCAAGGAGCATCTGGAAGATGCTCTTAGTCATATGGTTTAGTTTTAAGTAGTCCTGTGAGGAGCAGGGAGTTAAGACTGTTTAACATCTTTGTTGGTGACATGGACAGTGGAATGGAGTGCACCCTCAGCAAGTTTGCTGACGACACCAAGCTGTGTGGTGCAGTCCACACACTGGAGAGAAGAGATTCCATCCAGATGAACCTGGACAGGCTTGAAAGGTGGGCCCATGCCAACCTCATGAAGTCCAACAAAGCCAAGTGCAAGGTCCTGCATGTGGCTTGGAGAAATTCCAAGCAGAAGTACATTCTGGGTGGAGAATGGATTGAGAGCAGCCCTTAGGAGAAGGACTTGGGGGTGTTGGTGGATGAGAAGCCCAACAAGACCCAGAACACTCGCAGCCCAGAAAACCAAACCATATCCTGGGATGCATCAAAAGAAACCATTGCTGCCTGAAAAACAATATTTAATCATATCAACATTTTTAGAAGATTAAAAAAGGCCACCGATTTACATAACTACTAACTACACAGCTTCAAGTTTTTTTCCATATCCTATCTTATATATCCATTTTAAGCTTTTCAAAGCACTTTTCAAAGAAAGGTTGCCCTCTTGAAAACATAACCAATAAACCTCTAGCTTTCTACCTGCATCTGCTCATCTTCTTCCTAACCATAGATATGTTGGGTGAATCATTCTGCTACCCCACAATAAAAACTGCATATCCATACATACAAAAACAAAAGAAAAAAACCCCACACAAACTAAAAACCCCCACAAACTTTCTCCTCTAAGCCAAAAGTTCAATGAGGACACTTGTATTCTCTACAGCAATGACCAGATTTTTTGTTCTTATAAAGAACACATGAGCATCAAACTATCAGCTGCTTGATTTCATAACCTATAATCTTATATCTGAAGGAGGACACTATTGACAACTGGGTGTGGGGTTTGTTAACAGTCTAGTCCCTCTCTAATAATATTGAGAAAATATGCAAAGAAAATATTTAGCTTAGATTAATTGGGCAATGTTTTCATATTACCTAATCATACTAAATAAATTACGAGATCTACTTGAATTTAGTAAACAAATATTATTTCTTCTTTGGTTCAATTTATTAAGCTTAATCAAAATCTCATCAGGCCCCTTGTCTAACAATACAAAAGATAAAGTTGATACACTACAGAAATAATTAAAAATTCATTTTTTATTTTTGGTTTGAAGACATCTCTAAACTGTTACTCTAAGAAGTAGTCAAATTGCAATTATTGATAATTTGATCAAAACTGAAGTTAACTTCTCTTTTATTCATCAGGAAAAAAAAATATCCAAACTAAACCACAACAGTGCACACATATACTATTAATTTGGGGTTTTTTTCTGCTCTCTGCTAGTCTGTCATGTAGCTATGAATAATTCATCAAATTGAAAGAACAACAGTGACTTGCTGTCCTGTCACTATGACTGCATTTTTCCACATCCCTTTTCACATGTGTCAGCCCATGGTTACGTACAGTTTGTTGTCTGCTCCTCTCTCAACTACTTCTCTCATTTTATTTTAGATTAACTCTACGTCTTTGTTACATACCTTCTTTAACATTATTTTTGTCATTCTTTACTATGCTTTTTCAGTAAATAATCACATAATAATGAAATAGTCAAAGTTGGAATGTACCTCTAGAGATTGCCTAGTCCAAACCTCCTGCTTAAAGCAGAATCAGCTGGAGTGGGTTGCCAGGATCGTGTTCAGTTGGGTTGTAGATATCTCCAAGGATGGAAACTCCACAATCCCTCTGGGCAGGCTGACCACTCTTACAGTAAAAAAAGTTTCTTATGTTTAAATGGAATTTCCCATTTTCCAGCTTGTGCCTACTGCCTCTCACCATGTCACTGGACACTACTGAGAAGAGTCTGGCACTGTCATCCTTACACTCTCTCGTCAGGTATTTACACACATTGGTAAGATGCCCTTTGAACCTTCTCTTCTGGCTGAACAGTCTCAGCTGAGTTTCTCCCTGTATGACAGATGCTCTAGTCTCTTAAATTATCTTTGGGACCCTTCACTGGAGTCTGTCTTGTACTGGGAAGCCCAGCTAATATTTTTTCATTTATTTTCCATCCCTATGAATAAAAATATATAAATGTTTATTTTTAGACATACAAATGTTACTGATCATTGATGAGTACACCAGATTGACTATGGAAACATGATTTAGACATCCAAAGTTTTTTTCTGACAACAGTAAAAATAAAATTGAATAAAATTTTAGAAGTCCATACTGACCAATTTTGTTATATCTTAAAAGGAATGTGCATTATAAAAAATGCTTACCTGTTTAAAAATTCCATTTGAATATAAGAAAATAAATACCATGGTTATGTAAGTGTCTAGTCTACTAAGTAGTTCCAGTGAAAAGTGTTTCTAACCAGTAACAAAAAAGTATGGCAGAGTTTTCTTTATTTGTAATAAGATTTCTATAACATTTAATTCTACAAAATGCAGACTGTTTTAATATAGCTTTTCCTAATTGAAACTTAGTAATACACTGCTAAAATTTCAGAACTAAGAAAAATAAATCTTCTAACTCATTTAGAGTAAGAACCCTCACTGTTAGGGAGAAAAATACTTCAAAGTATTTAAAGATCCACCTTTGAAAAAAAACCACACTGGAACATACCACAGATCTTTTTCAAAACAAAGGGTTTTTTGCCATCAGTTCTTCAGAATTTAAGTAATAAATGTATCTACAATTTACCTTGTATATCTGCAGTAGCACATCTGTCCAAGCTCGTTTGCTCATTGTCTCAAATGTTCTGTTCTCCAGAATGAATAGGTGGTTGTTGCTAAGTATATCTGAGTTTTTCACATCAGCTTTTCCCAGCTCATCATTTTGACCCTTCAGATAAAGGAATGGGATTTATTTCCAATATGCATTTCAGCAGTTTCCATAGGAAATTCACAAGAGGACAATAACGAATCAACGGCATAAATGACTGAGAACATCTACTACAGAGCAATAGTGATCAGCATTAGAATCATTTACACTTTGCCACTACCTCAGGGATATGGAGAGCAATACAGAATTGACAGGAATTGAAAGCAACAATAGGACAGAGAGGCAACAGAAAGGACATTTTTTTAAAATGGTAAAGTCAGTAGAAAGCAGTAAAATTAATTCTACTTTGAGAAAACATCTGTTTGAAATTAATCGCTGGTATCACCAGCACTAGAAGGAACTGAAGAGAAAAACCAGGGGAGGAGGGTGTTAATGTTAGTGTCAGCTTACATTTCCATTCAGTCTTGTGCATGGGCTTAGATTTATGCAAGCCAAAACAGTCACCACAGTAGACTACTCATTATCCACAAAAGACTTCCATAAGTCTTCCAAGATTTATACTAAGCATGTGGTCTTTGTTAAAAACAGAACAAAAAATGAAACAAAACAAACACACACAAAAAAAGCCCCAAACTTACCCTCAGAGCAGTTTGCACTTGAATCCATTTCTTATAATCATCAGGTTCAAGCAGAAATTCTGGCATAACATGAGGAAGATATGCTCCTTGGCTTCTGAAGTCATAAAGCAGGAAAAGTTAATAGGTTGGCAAGATAATTATTTTTAAAGAGCAGTCCATTTTTTTCAACTTGCTCAACCTCTGTGTAAGCTCTTCTGAGGTATGAGTACACTTTGGACTGATTATCCAGTTCTAGTAATTACTTTAGAGAGCTTCTGCTTATGAAGTTCATATTCAGTTCCTATACCCACAACTGAATGCTAAAAGCACATACAGCTCTGGACAGACTGGCATCAAAACACTATTTCTATGTGAAAGCCAAAGGACCAGCGTTACATAACATTAGCAGAATTAAAACTTGATGATGCTTTTATCTGTTGCAGGTCTGATATTGGAAGTCTTATGCGTGTAAGCAAAGGTACTTCAAAATTCTGTTAATTGTTAAACTGACCTGCTGTCTGCTCTCAACTAACTAATAAATGCAATAGGAAAATTGCAGTAACAAAAGGCATCTTCAATAGAATGAATACGAAAATAGCTAACTTCCAAGTAAAGAAAGAATATTCTTTAACTTTAACACAGTTTAAACACATCTTCCTGGGAAGAGGGGAAAATAATGAAGAATTCTTAAGTTTAATAAGTGACACAGTTTAAACACATCTTCCTGGGAAGAGGGGAAAATAATGAAGAATTCTTAAGTTTAATTTTCTCAGAGGAGCAGAAAAGTTTCCTGACTTTTGAGTCACAAATATTATCCAAGTGTATCCAGATTTATATTGTTCTTTGTGTTTTTAACATGGTTAATATGAATAATACTAAGATGAGCTTATATTGTTATATAACCCATATCTCCTTCAGATGTAGTGATCATACTTCTCTGGTACCATACAGTCAAAATTCAATTTACTTTGTACATTAAAATTCATACATCACAGTTTGAAAGTAGGATCATAACAACTTATTCCTCTTCCCACAGAATTACATTTTGCTAGTAGCAGCATGGTTTTTGTCTCCATATTTTACATAGTGACATTATCTTCTCAGATTACTGAAATTTCATGTTTCATACAATTATGTAGCGTGTTTGTTAGCATCAAGTTAGCAGACTGGTTCTAAAATACACAATGTCTGAAATTCCCATTTTCTATACGTCATAAACTCTGTTCCATGAAATCCCTTTAAAACTTCAGAAACGATAAAAGAAGGAAGCTATAGAACATTCGTCTTTTCAGGTGCCTTATCTTTCTTCCAATGTTTTCACTTGGTATATATAGGATATAGGTGTAATCTTCAATTTCCATCCTCAGAAAAGCTATATAACAATGGTACACATCATCATAGTAAAGATGGGTTCTACATAACTGAATATTCTCATAACTGGCTGCATTTTGTTATTGAGGAACAGCGTCCTACAAAAATTCCTCCTCATTAAGGTCAATAGTTCAATATTTAACATGATGTCAGTTATCCAAGATTAGCATTTTCACACTGTTAGGATATTTTTCTTCAAGACATAAAGCTTGCAACAAATTACTTAGTTGTATTGTAAAATACCCAAACTTTTCTTTTACTGCTGTGTAAATGTATTAACGAAACCTATTGAGGGAATGAAAATAAAACTGATACTTGGAATGTTGCTTGAAACAGTGAACAACATCCACCTGCTTTAGCAAGTGGAAAATTTGAAAGATCAATTATGCTTTTTTTAAACCATGCTGATCAGAAAGTCATAGCTGGGAGAAAGCAAGCTGAGGACTGTATGTTTCTATTCTGTGTGCTCTCCTGGGCTTCTTCAGGAGAGCATTCGCACTTTCCACAAATCACAATGAACATGCAGGAATAGCAGATCACAGACGAATTACTCATATCTAAGCTGGCTCTAGATGTCTTACCATCATTACATATGGTTGTGCCAGCAGTGCAGATATCAGACATTTTTGTACTATGATCTATAAATAATCTTAAATAACAACTTGTGTAGAAATGCAAATATTCTAGGTGATCCTAAAATGCACAAGTAGGAAAAGAATATCTGTAAATCAGGAACAACTATGAAATCCGATAGGATTCGCACAAACTAGAAGAGGCAGAAACTAAAAGGATGTGGTAATGCTAAGCGCATACTGAGCACCAATTTAATTATCTCACATCAAATACCTATAAGCACAGGAGTCCAGCTAGAGTCACTTTTCTATGGGAATCTGTATCATTTTGCTAGGATTCTTATGGATTACTTCTTCATTTCCAGCCATGAGACCTCATCAATCAGTCATCAATGTATCTGTGTACAGAGGTGCTGAACTTAGCCTTGACCAATTGGCTGCTGCTCCAATTCTCTTCTGAATATGTCAGTAAGTTAACAGACAAAAATGAAGTGGCGTAACTGAAGGATTTTATTAAAATTTAGCTATTAAATAGTTTTCCAAATTACCCAAGAAACCACCTTAGAAACACGTAAGTATTTCTTTCCAATGCTAGCAAAAGGAGTTGGGATCTACAGTATCATCATTTTAAAGTAGGCAACTAACATCATGTATGCTAATTTCAAGATACCTAGATGCATGGAAAATCTCAATGGGAAGATGACATAAGAACCATCATAGAGTTGCCTAGGAGGGACCTTTCAGATCATCTAGGCCAATCATCAACCTAACACTGACAAAAACCATCACTAAAACCATATCTCTAAAGCTCTATGCCTACCCATCTTTTAAATACCACCAGAGATGGTGATTCAACCACTTCCGTGGGCAGCCTGTTTCCAACTCTTAATGACCCTTTAAATTGTCAGGCCCCACCAGGAGAGAATTTTGACCCTATGTAGTCATGCTCCAGTAGTATCCCATGAAAACTCTTTAAAGAAAATTCTGTGAATGGATATTTTGATTGAAGATCCTGAACATACTTTGTTAGGGGTAGTCTCAAGTATAAGGTATGCAAAAGGACAGAAACCTGACTTCCTCCTTGCCAGAAAATGACAGAATATAAACAAAATAAGGTATATTGGAAGACCTTTCTGGTACAACCTTAATGTAAGTGAATTAATGATGTTCTTTGATTTCTTCCTCTCTGTCTTGAAGAAATATTTCCATTTATGGTGTTCATTTTCAATGTTATGAATAAATGTATACTTTCAGCTTCACAGCATACACACCACTTTATCAAAGTTCAAAAAGTGCTAAGAATTTACCTTCCCTGCCCAAGCCACCTGACACAATCAGGTGAGGAAAATAAGTGTTTTGAAAATGACCAACAAGGCTTTCTGGCATACTCAAAGATATTGTGTGGTATGCTCAAATTTGGATGATGACTGATGGTAGGTATCTCTTTTCAGATCATCTAGGCCAATCATCAACCTAACACTGACAAAAACCATCACTAAAACCATATCTCTAAAGCTCTATGCCTACCCATCTTTTAAATACCACCAGAGATCGTGGTTCAACCACTTCCGTGGGCAGCCTGTTTCCAACTCTTAATGACCCTTTAAATTGTCAGGCCCCACCAGGAGAGAATTTTGACCCTATGTAGTCATGCTCCAGTAGTATCCCATGAAAACTCTTTAAAGAAAATTCTGTGAATGGATATTTTGATTGAAGATCCTGAACATACTTTGTTAGGGGTAGTCTCAAGTATAAGGTATGCAAAAGGACAGAAACCTGACTTCCTCCTTGCCAGAAAATGACAGAATATAAACAAAATAAGGTATATTGGAAGACCTTTCTGGTACAACCTTAATGTAAGTGAATTAATGATGTTCTTTGATTTCTTCCTCTCTGTCTTGAAGAAATATTTCCATTTATGGTGTTCATTTTCAATGTTATGAATAAATGTATACTTTCAGCTTCACAGCATACACACCACTTTATCAAAGTTCAAAAAGTGCTAAGAATTTACCTTCCCTGCCCAAGCCACCTGACACAATCAGGTGAGGAAAATAAGTGTTTTGAAAATGACCAACAAGGCTTTCTGGCATACTCAAAGATATTGTGTGGTATGCTCAAATTTGGATGATGACTGATGGTAGGTATCTCTGTCATCCAATAAGAAGTGATGTTATTTTCTTTCCTTCGTACTGACCTCATCCATCAAACACTGAGTCAGAGAAAAGACATTAACATATTTGAAGCTAGACAGAAGAAATATCAGTCCTGAAAGACCATAGTTAATGTCTATATGAATTTGAATTAGGGCTGTAAAATCCCATACTGAAGGGTGGAAAGTGCTGAAAGGCACATCAGCTCCAGCCTTGAAAAGTAATTAGACACTTATGTTTCTCTTGATAGAAACTGAGCAGAATCATTCGAGCTGCCTATACAAGAATTAATGAAACTTCACTGTTAATAAGGGCAAACAGGGTTCAAAAGAGGAAGCGTGCCTTGAAGTTATTCTTGACTGCTCTTCTAGGAGTTGTGCAAAGTATTATCTTAACACTAGATCTAAGGCAGTGGCAACAGAAAGGATTTACCTTGGGTTGGAACCAAAGATCTCAGAAAGACATAAACATTCTGATTAGATAAAGAAGAAAGTCTCTTGAATTTACTTAGACAACCATTCAGCTTCATATCACCAAGTACTTAATGTCTTGCTACATGGAAGGAGGCAACACTCTTCCAGAAGAAGAATCAGCAGGGTGGCATTAGTGAAAGCTTTCATTTGACAAGATGGCAAGACATTCTTCAGCAGTCCATTGCATAATCACTCTAGACTTTAAGATGCAATGGGAGAATATGACGGGATATATCTATCGATTCCTTTATTTAGTATCAGAATGGATGTTGAAGTCATGAAAACAAAAGGAATCTATTAGTGGAGAAAGGCAAAGATATTGTTCTGCCACTGCTGCAATGCCTCCTCAGAATCATCTGCCACTATATTATCCATGGTGCACAAAAGAATGCTATACTGCCTCTTTTAAAAAACAAATGACATGGATGAAAGTTGCAAATCAGGGTCCAGTATTGTTGGATGCAAAGGAAACTTCTCCTTTCATTTCCCTATTAACGCTGTAAATGCTTTATCTCAAAGCGCATGATCTTCAGTGTGTCTATAGACTTGGTTGCTCTGCTATAGATAGCAGCCATTCTGTTATTGATCTGGAGACAGCCTTTTTTTATTATTTTTTTAAAGATAGCTAAATTAAACAAGTTGTGCACAGCGCTTTTTACCATCTTCCATCAGGCTTTTTGATTCACTGCACTGGAAAAGCTTATGGGATCTGAAGAGGTACCCAGGAAGATGGAATTATTAGAAGTACAATTCTATAATCGAACAGAAAGAGATGTTTGAGCTAATAGTAGATAAACAACATGGTTTCCTGTTTCCATAAACTTCTAAAAAGTTGCAATTGATCATTCTTTGGAATACTTCTGGTCTATATCCTGGAAAAACACTTGTTGATGGCCCTACACTAAGTATCATTATGCTTTCAGACCTTAAGGTCTGCAGCTACTGGCCCTTCTGTTACTTAAGAAGCAGTGTGCCTTGGTCTTATATGAGTTTCAGATACAGCTATACCACTGTTACTCTCAGATGAAAAGAGTATGTAAATGAACAGTATGTAAATGACAGGTTTTAAATGGCTTTCCAGCCTCTTAAACACTAAGTGATGATGCTAAAAAGATGCAGAGATGCTGTGTCTCAGGACTTCTGATTTCTCTAAGGATCTCATGACATTAGACTTTCTCTGAAGTTTATTTTCTTCACTATTTCACAGCCGTGACAGCCAAGAAGGATGAAGAATTTATTAACCTTTTTTGATTTGCACCATCTTTGACAGTTGTTCCCTATTATGTGGCAAGATAAGATTATCAATTAAGATAGCTAATAGCTAAATCCATTCAGCAGCAGGAGCAGTGCTTCCATTCTTGGCATATTATTAATATGAAAGACTAATAGATTACAAAGTCAATCTATAAAATTTTTGCTAAAGCCAGTAACTACAGGACAAAGAGCATTAGCGGAATGCCACGATCATTAATGACAAACCTGATTTGACTATCTATTGAGTCTGTCTAAAGAATGATGTTGAAGAGTCATCTTCTTTCATAAGGGAGCAGAGTTCCTGTGGAATTCCCGTGCTGGATATAACCCTACCAAAGGACAACCTTGGTAAAAATTAATTAACAACTGCGATACATAAATCTTAGAACACAAAAGATTCAGTATAAAGGAAACCCTAAACCTATGACACATTGTTCGGTTGGAATCAAGTTTGAACTATGCTAACAAAAAAGGAGAAAGAAAAGATGCATGTTTTATCATACATGTACTTACTTAAGGAAAGCAAGCAATGTAGAGTGCTGCCGGTGGAGCCGTAACATTTGTTCAACTGGATCAAGGGGCAATGACTTGCTCGATGTAATACCTGGTAACAAATGTCCACTCAGATGGAATACCATGTCATAAACAGTCTTAGTATCTTTGCCAAGGCTTTGTTTAAAAGCTGTTTCTTGTGAAGAGCTCATCTGGACTTTACACACATCACTAAGAGAGAAAAAAGCATCTGATATTATTCTTTTGCAAGTGCAAAACAAGCTAACATTATATATCATGATGATAAATTTAATGAACCAAGAACTAAAAACTGCAGCAAGAAGGCTGAAAAGTATGGCACTTTTTCCTTTTTATAGAACTTTCACAATAATGTAAGAACTTCGAACTACATGGAATATTTAATAAGTATATGTGAAATATTTCATAAATAACTTTGCGTTTGTCACTGCTTTCTGCCAAATATAACATTGATTTCTATCATGTTTATAAAAGCTTATGTGTTTTGTGTCCCAGGAGATTGGCTGCTTCATTATTTAATAGCAAGCTAGATAGTGGCATACTTAGTTATCTTAAGACTAATCTTATATTTCCAGAGTGTTTGCAAGACTGTTGATTATGAAATTCACTTTCCCATCTGTTTTTTGATCTCAGAGTATGTGGGGGGAAAAAAGACATACTCTTAAAACACATATTTATGACACCAAAAAAGGGACAATTGCTAACTGTGTTCATTCTGGGAGGAGAATCAATTTCAGTCGAGAGGGTGACATATAGTTTGAACTGCAAATTAAACATGCACTGCATTATGATATATCAGAACATCATAGTTGGAAATACATTTTAGAAAATGAAGAATAACACCTGAATGACATTTTCATATAAACAGTACATAGATTCTACAATTTTAATACACAACTGTGCATTAGAGTGTGATTATATTCCTCATATCATATCCAAAACACTTTATATATGTCTGCCTAATAAAAAGTTAATAAGTTAGCTCCAAGTAGATGTGAATTACCGTCTCAGTGAATATGGTATTGAAATAGGATTTTGTCCCTTAGACCAACCAAAGAGAGTGAACCAATTCTTAACAGCAGTTAGGGTTTTCTGAAAGAAGATGTACTCCTCTTTATCTTCATCAGGAAAAAATGACAATTCAAATTTATTTTCTCTCCCATCACTTTGACTGTCAGTTTCACTCTCATCACTGATCTCTTCATCAGCGATCTCTTCATCAGTGACCTCTTCTTCACTCTCACTTTCAAAAGTAGTATCCGACTCTGAATGATACAAAAAAAAAAATCCAGAAAGATTCACTTATTTCACTATTTTTGTCCAGTACAAAACTAGTATGTTGACAAACATTTGTTTACAGAAAATACAAAACCATCAGACAACCAATGATTGACTTATTTCAAGAGTAAATAATTTAAGCTACATGTACACATCTTTGGAATAGAACAAATGATATTCTTGGAATCTCATTTCACTTAAAGAAAAAATATCCAATCAGAAAAAAAAAAAAAAAATCCAGGCATAGCTTACAAGACCACAGAGTTCTTTAATAAAAAGTCTTACATACAGTTCCAGTATGTTTAGATTTACCAGCTAGTCAATGCTAGTTCCCCACCAAAATTGACATAGCATGGGTCAATAACTGACTTGTGTTCATTTTATCAGGTATTCTATAGGTATAACTAAGCCTACATCCCAATCTAAGCCTTTGGACTTTCCTCCCCTCTGTTAGGCCTTCTCTCTCTTAAATTCTGACCTGGTCAAAACTTAGATTGTATATTTTAGCAACTACTAGTTGTCAACAAATAAACAACAACTTTATTGCACAAAAGATAACAACGGAACACTTTTCCTCATGGCATAAATAACTCAGATCATTCCATTGTTGAAGGTATCTTTTAATATCACTGTTGCAGTTTTAATGTTTCTTTAAATTATTCAAAATTAAAACTAAAACCTTGGACAGTGAATAAAAAAAAAATCTTGTTAGGCTTTAAGCAGAAAAAACAATACAATACAGAGAAAGAGACTCGTCCTTTATAAGATCATCACGCAGTCAGATCCAAGATTGTGCAATCCTGCCAGCTAACAAGATTACTTTCCTCATCTTGTCGCTGCTACCTTCACCAGAGGTCATTGCCTTTTCAGATCTGAAATTGACTTGGTCTTTTGAACTCTTCTTACCTCATTCTATTGAAAATGAATTATGTTGTTAAAAAGCTACTATTTAATCCATTTAACTACCCATATTTGTCTTGGCAATACCTTAGAGAATGATCACACAAACATTAGCAGATCTGCAAGACTGGAATCCTAATATTGATGAAACAGCAGCAGTAACTTCTAACTTCCAAGTTAGAAAACTAGCAGCTAAAAAGAGAGAGGCCTCAACATCCTCAGATACTAGTCACCTGACAACCCTACAGAAGATCTAGTGCTCTTAGTTCATATGCAACTGCACTTTAACCAAGTCCCTGTATCGGTTTTGAGAGACAAGGTTTCAGTTGTAGGGAGGGCTACAGCTCTGTAGACACCAAGGCAACTGACGGAGAGCAGTGGCGAGTGGCATCCCTCAAGGGTCCATGCTGGGACCGGTACTGTTTAACATTTTTATCAACGACATAGACAGAGGGATTGAAAGCACCATCAGCAGCTTTGCAGATGACACCAAGCTGTGTGGTGTTGTCGATACACCAGAGGGACGGGATGTCATTCAAAGGGACCTGGACAGGCTGGACCAGGTAAACCTCATGAGGTTCAACAAAAGCAAGTGCAGGGTTCTGCACCTGGGCCGGAACAGTCCTTGCCATCAGTACAGACTAGGGGGTGAGGTACTAGAAAGCAGCCCTGAGGAAAGGGACTTGGGGGTGCTGATGGATGAGAAGCTGGACATGAGCAGGCAGTGTGCAGCTGCAGCCCAGAAGGCCAGTTTGGAGAAGGGCAGATTTAGATTGGAGATTAGGAGAAGTTGGAGAAGGACAGATTTAGATTGGAGATTAGGAGAAAGTCCCTTACTATGAGGGTGGTGGAGCACTGGAACAGGTTGCCCAGGGAGGTGATTGAGGCCCCTTCCCTGGAGATATTCAAGGTGAGGCTCCACGAGGCCCTGGGCAACCTGGTCTAGTTGAGGGTGTCCCTGCTGACTGCAGGGAGGTCAGACCAGATGAGACCTTTGGAGATCCCTTCCGGCCTGGACCGTTCTATGATTCTATAATTCGGAGGAGAGCAAGGAGGCGGTCCAGGCACCAGAGCAGAGATTCCCCTGCAGCTTGTGGTGAAGACCATGGTGAGGCAGGCTGTCTTCAGCCCATGGAGGTTAACAGTGAAACAGAAGTCCATCTGCAGCCCGTGGAGCACCCCACACCAGAGCAAGTGGATGTGACCAAAGGGGACTGTGATCCTGTGGAGAACTCACCCTGGAACAGGCTCCTGACAGGACCTGGGGACTCAGAGAGAGAGCAGCCCATGCTGGAGCAGGTTTGCTTGCAGGACTTGTGACCTTGTAGTGAATCCACAATAGAGAAGTTCATGAAGAACTGCAGCCCATGGGAAGGACTCACATGGGAGAAGTTAATGGTGGAACATCTCCCATGGGTGGGACCCCACACTGGAGCAGGGGAAGAGAGCAAGGAGGAAGGAGCAGCAGCAACAACATGTGATGAACTGATCACAATCCCCACTTCCAGACCCCTGCACAGTGTGGGGGGAAAAGGCAGAGATTTCAGGAGTAAAGTTGAGCCTGGGAATAAGGGAGGGGTAGGGTGAAGGTGTTTTAAGATTTAGTTTTTATTTCTCATTATCATCCTGATTTGATTGGTAATAAATTAAATTAATTTATTTTAATAAGTCAAGTCTGTTTTGCTTGTGACGGTAACTGCTGTGTGAGCTCCCTGTCTTTATCCCAACCCACAAGCCTTTTGTTCTATTTTCTCCCCCCTTGTCCAGCTGAGGAGGAGAGTGATAGAGTAGCTTTGGTGGGAATCTGGCAGTCCCACTGACAACACTTGCTTTTATACAGTACTTCATAACTGCAATAGAAATGTCAAAGTCTAACCTGAGTGTATAACTAGACCTTTGCAGAATATAGCATATTTACAGAGTGTATATGATTGGTTAGTTCATGACTACAAAAGCAATACTCTTCTTAGCAACTAATCCCTTAGGTTTGTTCAGTAGTTATTTTTCTGCTGACTCCTCCATGGACATGTTATTGCAAAAGGGACCTTGATATTTTTTCACTTTCTGTTTGCTTTCGGGGTTTTTTCTTTGTTTGCACCAGTTTGACTGATTTCCCTTCCACTTAGTCTGCTAAAAGGAAAGAGGATATTTTCTGCTTCTATACTCTAGGCCAGGTTTCTCATGGTATCACAGGAGAGGACATACTCCCCAGTATTCATTCATTATATGGGCAGAAGCATTTAAGGCAAAGCTTAGAAATGCAAAACATAACTCTTGAAAGCAGTAAGCTGAAAAGCAGTTGTAAGAGCTCAAAATGTTTAAAGGGAACATCTTCACTATACCTGATAAAGAATCTTGATAGGTTGAATCAGTGGTTGCACCAAAGGAACTTGAGGAAATACTACGGGAAAGTGATTGTGGAGTATAACGTGGATGTAGAACAATTTCACTACTGCATTCCTTACTGTCTATAAAACAAGATTACAAGCTGCAGTTGAGAAAACATATGTCATTGTCTGTGCTTTAAAAGTTTATAAACGGCTATCTGCTTCTAGATTTTTCTATTTCGTGCTTCAGTTAATCAAGTAACAGTTCTCATTTGACTCATGATGAAAATCTCACTTTGGTCATTAAACCGGGGAAAAAAAAAATTATCTGTATATTTTTTTCCATTAACAGTATGTTTCACTCGCTGAAAAGCACCCATCAGAACAGCATTAATTCAAGAATTCTAAGTCATGAACAAAATATTCTTAAGGAATTTTTGATCCCAGCTCTGTCATGAGTCTCAGAATACCATTCCCAAGCACTTTCAAACTCAACAACACATATTTTTACGAACCAAACTCAAAATATGGTTTATCAATCCATTAGTTTTGTCAGAACATTTAGTCTGACATTTTCATGTTGGCCTATGATAGGAACAGAGGGCTTCTGCTAACTATCTCTGATGTCAGTCTCCAGAACAACAGAAGAGGAACACAGTGTAGCATCTAGAGAAGTAAACAAACACACCAGTAAAAGAAGGCAGAAATCTGTATGATTATCTTCAATTTTTGATTCCTGGCACTGTTATTTGTATGGTTTGGAGAGAATAAAACAAGAGCATATTGTCAGATAAACAGAAGCAACACCTTCATGAATAGCTTTCAAAGGCACTGTAGATATGGTTTGGCCACATTAAACAGCTTTCCACACCAAAGTAGTCTATACAAAACCACATAAACTAGGCTTTAGTGATTTGTGATAATGACTCGCTTCAAACTGATACAAACTGATAACATTATCAATAAGCAATCAATACAGGACAGAAATATCCCATTATTAATGGGGGATCAGTTCTTATAAAATCATCGGTCCATTTTTGGCTTAATCCTGAAGGGAAACCTATAAAGTATCTCCAAAAGACAAGCTTGCAAAAATGACCTACTGGTCCCCAAAAAAAGAAATAAAATCATCACACATCTATAAGAGATAACACTTTTCCCCCTTTCTTATCTTCATTTAATTGTGCTATGATCCATTATTTATATGGTACCTATCCCTATCTTCTATAGGAAAAATAAATTAAAAAAAAAACAAAAAAAAACATTACTTGTCTTCGTGCTAATACCTTTTTCAGCTTCACAAATACCATCTCTCTTTTCTCTTAGATAGTCTGAGGAACATATTTAGTTAATGCAATCTTAGAATTCAGAGTCTTGAAAGATAAATCTGTTTCAGACCTAATGACTTGCTTACCTGAAAACTCATCTATTTCACCAAATATATCAGATCCCAACAACTACAAAAATTAAAAAAAATTACCCCATACTTAAATCTCCTTTGAGCAGGAGGTTGGACTAGATGACCCCCAGAGATTCCTTCCAACCTGAATTATACAGTGATTTCAATCTCTTCCCATAAGCACAGCTACACACAAAGAGATGACAGAGTACTGAGGAAGGCAGAAATGGAGAAGGGGGCAGGAAGCAGGCAGAGACAGGGCTGGGAAGGGTAAGGGGCATGGATGTCGAAGCAGAGAGTCAGGCAGAGACACATTACAGATAAAAATATTTCTAGTCTCTGATTACAGGCTTTTATTAGGCTTTAAAATATGGCTATGCTCTCCAGCCTTCAATGACAGTAATTAAAAAAACTTGAAAACTATTCCAAACATCATAACATGTTGCTTTCTTCTCTTTTGCTTTCTTCAAAACATATCCAAATGCTCTCCTAGGAATTGTTGATGATCACTCTCTATCGACATAGTTAAAATTAAGTTCATTTATTCTCTATTGTTTGGTTTGTTTTCTCTACTCATACTTCAAAAACTTCACAAAACAGTCTGTAAGATTTAGGCTTGTCCAATATTTTTTGATAAACTACCTAATAATTTGTAGAAGTTTTCCTCATTTTCAACAAGAAAACAATAGCTATTAAACTGTTTTAAAATTTCATGTCAGTATCCCCTTGTAATTAATGAGCAGAAATGCTGTCTTGACAATAACATCCCTGTTTTCACACTAAAAACATTGATAATACTACTACACATATTACAATTTTAAGAGGTAGAGTGCTGACTGCTTACCAGTTCTCAAGATAATTTGTTGATCAGAGCGGTGAGATGCCAAATACGGGTATAAAGTAAGAAGGCAATTCTCTGCTGTTGCAGCAATTTGAATTGAGAACCTGTCCAAAACAAAATACAAAAGTGATAGTTTTCTATTTAGCCATGGTAATCAAGATACTTCAGCACAAGAATAAAAGACAGAACTGGATTTCTTTTCTCTTCTCTTCTGATTCAATAGGAAAATACACAGATGGGACTGAACAAGATGAAATGCTGAAGTTTAGTATAGTATTTCCACTTCACAGTCTTACTATGAGCACGGATGTATCATTAAGCTGAAAGTCCAAGAGTTAGCAGAGATTTCATTAAATAAATGAACTCTGTCTTCCTGAAAAGAAAAAACAATTAAAATTACAGCTGGCTTTTATGAATATCCTGAAGGAGTTTGCTAACTTGCTAAATATATATCTATAACTTCTGACAGGGGAAGTTTTCTTGAAAAGCAACTTCTATTTTGATTTAATGTTTATTCTACAAGACTTTACAGAAATCTCAAAATAAATAGATTCAATTTAAAAACAATGAGATATTGACTGCAATTGCTAGAATATAATAGAAATTGGTTTACATGCCCCAACATTTACTAGAGTGTCTGTACCGTTGGTAGCAGCCATATTAAAGTGTAGCAATCCACCTTTTAACCCTTTTTTCATACCTCACCTCAATCTCTCGGGGGGCAATCAACAAGCAAATTATTGTAATCTATTGATCCTTGCTAGCCATCTGTATGTATGTTCTTAGCTCATTGCAACCGACAGGTAATTCAACTGAGCTTCATCCTGTGTTATTACATAGCTGGTTTTTTACTCCACATTAACTTATTAACTAACATTCATATTAATTAACTATGTTGACTAAGCTGTCTAAAATACAAAGAAAAATGTACTTTAATAATTCAAACAGCACACTGATATCCATCTTGCTTTAGTATATCGAGAATTATGCAAATTGAAAATATCTTGCACATAATATTTTCTATTTTCCTTTAAATATTGAATAATAAATTGCCATGTAATGTGAATTTAGATTAATATTAGAAGATATCACCTTTCAGATTAATTTATAATATGACATAATTAGATTCTAATGTTTTGTTATAGAATAACATAATCAAGAAAAACATAAAAGTACCAGAAAGTAGATTTTCTTTCCTCTTTCATACTTCTCTCTCGAAACAACATTCTTAAATACCATTTTTAGAGGAATTTTATTAAATAGAGAAAGGCCCCAACAAAATCCATAGCCATCTTTCTCATTTGTAAATATCCACATCTGGATACCACTTTCATAGCTAGCAGTTGTTTAAATCAGTAATCCAGCTTTGCACTCGGCTGGGAGTGAGGCAAGGGCCTTGCACCTTGTAGCATAGTATTTCTTTTAGCTAACATCACAGCTTATGCTTTGATTCAGCAAAAATCTCAGCAGCAGGTCATCAGCAGCACAGATGGCTATAAGAGTTATCTATCTACACAAAATGTACATTTGTACATGCCCAAACCAGGTGTCAGAACACAATGCCTTTTCCTACCTTTACCAAGCCTTTAAACCCCGGATCAATAACTACAACACAGAAAAGGTTGCCAATTTGTAACTCGTGATGTTACTGTGATAAAAAATTCTCAGTACTCTGGAGGCATACAGTAGGTTAACTTCAGACAACAGAGTTGGGGGCAGGGGTGTAAGAAAGCTGTATGAAGGTTAATGAAAGAAATAGCTCTCAAATTATATCAAAGTAACTCAGATGTCTGTATTATTGGATTGAGTCAACTTTCTGATTTCTCAGTTTGAGGCGAGTACCCAATTTAAGAATTGGGCATGTGCCAAATCTTCATTCATGCTCTGATACGCACAGTCATGAAACACAGAAAAATGTGTTTAAGGACAACCGCAGTACGTCTTAACTGACCCAAATTCAATGAGTGATACTACTCAAAGCAAAGGTACTACTGCACAATCTAGAATATAAAAAAAAGCCATTGCTACAGAACAGCTGTGTACCAATAAATGTCTGAGACCTCACAGTGTTGCTATAAGAGAAGCTCCTCCCTGCGCCATGCTGCTAGGAGTTAGCTCCTGTGACCACGGGCCTGTGACCATGGGTCTACGATGGCTGCAGTGACCATAAAGTGGTAGACTTCAGGACACCAAAAGGAGAAAACAAGGCAAAAAGCCGTATCACAGTCCTGGAATTCAGAAGAGCAGACTTTTGCCAGCAAAGAGCCATAAAGTTGAAGAAGGGACTGAAGAACCTGTTATATGGGGAGACACTGAGAATTGTGTTTTCAGCTTGCAGAAGAGAAGACTCAGGGGGATGTTATCTATGTGTTCAAATGTCTGAGGGGAAGGAGTAAAGAAGATGGAGCCAAACTCTTTTCAGTGATGCTCAGTGAGAGAACAAAAGGCAATGGCTATAAATTGAAATACAGGAAATTCTATCTAGTCTTAAGAAAAAAAATAATTTACCATCAGAGTGGCTGAACACTGGAAGAGTCTGCCCAGAGAGTGCTGTGGAGTGTCCATCTTTGGAGATATTCAAAAACCAACTGGACAACAGAGGAGGGGAATGAAGAGAGGACTAGATGATCTCTGGAGGCTCTTTCCAACCTCAGCAATAAATATTGATTCAATTATTGGCCACCTGTCCAATCATCATTATTATTTTCATATGGTATTTTCCCCAAAATGGGATTTGAAAGGGAACTTAAAGAAGAATGAGCCAGCAGCTAAAAGACTCATCTGAGTTTCAAAAGGTGACACTCCATTTGTAAGAAAGCATGGCAGAAAAAACAAGAGTGCTTGGAGCTAAATATTTATACACATTTTAGGCATTAAGGTACAGGACAACAAACTGAAAAACATGCCTATTTCCATACAAATATAGCAAACAGATCACAAAGGCATCATCTTGCACTATTGACCTTTATTTATAACACCATTCATGAAGTGATGTTACAAAACTAGAAGTCTTGTGCAATGTATTTATTCTGTACTTGCAGGAGAGCTTAAGTAAATAATATAGAAGTCTGTGCTATTCTATTAGAATGAAAGGTACCTGTATTGCTATCAAATGCGGTTACTAAATGTGTTAAATTATTCAGTGTATTCAGTTTTATAATGCTTAATAAAGCAAGTAAAAAATTTGTTGTCTACGTGAACCATCATTGCCAAGGCTATTTCAGTGTTTATTCTCTAATGCATATTTCCAAAGAACACTGAAGGGGAGAATGGCCATTAAATATATTGTGTTTACCAACATTTGAAACCTGCTGATCACCAAAAACTAAAGCTCTCTGATGACAAAAAAATACCATCCAACATTCTATACAGAAGCAGTTTGTTCACTTCTCTTAGCTTTTTTTTATTTGTTTGTTTTAATGTCCATGGAAAGACAAAAGAAGATGAATCTAAATATATTTATCCTTTTTATTTTTCTCTATAGCATTTCAGACATTTTCTAAGTAGAGTCATTTGTTTCATATCAGCACACCACAAACACAGAAACACAGACATAGTAAAATAACCTTTCTTCAACAGTATTCATCAACAGATGCAGAATATCACAAACAATTTCTTAAGAGAAAGAATCCAAAGCCATAACTGAAAAATTTCTGTAGCAACATTGCTTGGGTAAATTAAGAAAATATTTCAGGGAAGCTCTCACTGCTGGTTTAGGCAACAAAACAAACTGATTGCAGAATTGATTAGTGTCAAAAGGAAACTTGACATGACAGTGAGGTATCCTACAGATCTTTAAGAACAAAGAATAGCCTAGATCAGGGAACACAAAGTTGTAATGTAAAAATAAATAAATAAAGACCTGCCCTCCTGCCTCCCCCTAAAATTCTTTGAACACATCCAGAGATGAGGGAACTGGAAGGGAGAGGAAAAGATGACCCATGGAAGCTCTGATGATTCTATTCACAAATAAGCAGTTCCTCACACTGAGGAGTCCTTTTCCTTTGTTGCAAGAGGTCAGGATTCCACAGCAATTGAAATAATACAATAATAAATAGTGACAGACACATGGTTTCACATGATATATGAGACTTATAGCTGGGAAAGCAGCCATGTTTTTTCTAATAGCAGCAATGATATCAGCTCTTAATTCCTGAAGAACAGACACTTCAGCTAGCAGGGACCATCACAAAATGGTAGAAAGCCACAAGCACAGAAAAAAACAGGAGTGATTAATGAGTTTGGACCATCACCAGTTTTCAAAACCATTCCCAACCATCTGAAGTAAAATGCCAATAGATTATTAGGTCAGATGAACGCAGCAAAGACACAAGCAAATATCAAGAACTCCAATGTTTTCTAGCTCCCTGATCTCTCTGAATTTAAATTATTTTGAAAGAAATTGACAGCTCCTATATTCTGTAAGACGTTACAGCAGAATACATGCTTTAGACATTTGCCAGCAGAACCTACTAAAGAGCTGTATGGTTTAGGCGTGTTTCCCAACAAGGAAAACACTCCATGCAAAACAGAACATACGCTTTTCCTCTGTGAGACACTCAGATCTCATGAGATCAAATGACTGATTCATAACTGGGTACCTTTAAGTGATCATGTCTTAGTTGCATCATGTTTTTATTAGAGGCTAAAATCCCCAACATCCTCTCTTCCTGAGGTTCCAGCCATGAACAACATGAATAACATCAGAAATTGCATTAATTTCCCCAGCTTCCCAGTGGGAGATGGAAAGAAAATGGAGAACTATAAAGCATGGGAGGTAAGGACCAGCACATCATGTCATTAATGATCACAATTTATCTACCCACCACAAGTGAGGGGAGTGGAGGGTAGGGGTGGTAGATTTTTTGCTGCTCAGAGCATCATTTCTTTTGATTGCATCTTTGATGCAATGGTGACAATATATACCTGTTGTTTACTATCTATTTTTCAGAAAGAATAAGTTAAATGTCATTTCAATCAGGATGGCAGAAAACTGTCTTTCCTGGTAACTTATTTATCTAATCAGCAAATTAAAATATATAATAAAAGAGGACAAATATATAAACATGCCATGTTCACAGAGGCTATTTTTTTGTTTAGTTTTTCAAGTTGAAGGAAATAACTAGCTAAATATTTCATAGCTAATGTCATAGCTAAATATTTCTTCGTATTTATTAAATACTTACTCAAGACTTTCTTGGATTTTATGTTATCATTTACTTCTGCTTTCCTATCAGCCCTATGCAAGGAAATGTCATTTATTCTGCTTTGGAGTCAAAGATGCAAAAAGGACCAATAGAAATTTAAATCAACATTAGAAATTAAATGCAGATTCTTATTTAAGGCAGTCATTAAATAATATTATGATCCATTCAATGGAATCTGTGCACACAGTAAATTACTTGCATAAATGATAACCATATATCTTTTCAGTTTTCTTTTACAGCATGGTTTCGCTATAAAACATGATTGCCTGTCATCTTTCAACTGTTTTCTGAAAAGCAGCCAAATTCAACAGTACCTATCCTGTACTGAATGTTCACTCTGATTTAAAGAAAAAACAAATGCTATTATTTAGATGAACTTAATGTGGACTACGTGAATCAATTTTAATGAAGTTTTAGACCTGAAGTTAGAAAAGCAAAACACTCCAGAGTCTAAGTAAAAAATGACCAAAACAGACTATTTGTCTCATCAATACTCACACTTTGAAAAACCCCTAGAATTAGTTTTGTTTAGAAGTTAAGACTCCTCTTCTAAGTAGGTAAATACAGGACACGATCTTTTACCACCATATGAAAATTAATTTTTAACTTGCTTATTTTAATTCCATCCCAGAACAAAGAATATGAGTTGAAGATCAAAATTTTAGTTCAAAACATTTAAAAATAGATACTATCACTTTGAAAATGGAAATACAAAGAGAGAATTCTTGACAAATTAATACACCTTCAGCAACTGACACTGTGAGATTTCCCGGCCATTAAACAAACCAGGAACCTACTCAAGACCAGTTAGCTTTTATAGGTGTTATAAAAGATTATAGGTTTCATTGTTTTATTATTAAAGATCTAGAAGGCCCCAAAATCTTGACTCAAATTAACAAAACAGTTTCAATTCATTAGTTACGCAGTTTGAAACAAACTGCTCAAATGCTCAGATAATTAGTTGAATTGGTTTTGAAGTCTGAACACATTGCATAGGTCTCCCATTGCGGGGGTCCTGGGAAGACAGAGTAGATATGCAGAGAACCAGAAACTGCAGCTACAGATTACTACAGAGGGGAATATCAAAGCCCATCTTAATATTAACAGTAGTAACGAAACCCAATTCAGGATAAATTTCCATACAACCTATTAGAATAATAACTATATGCTCAGGATTAGAGAATCGGGCACGCACTTAGACTTTTCCAGTTGAAGACAGAATTCTTTCCAGTTACAATAAAAATAATTTAATTCAAAAGCCAGTATGAATAACATTTCTACACTGACTAATGGCACACACAGAATCCCTTTGTTTTGCATGGCGGGGTATTTCATCCAGTTGTGTTCAGGTTTTATATCACCTACTCCTACAGCCAATACATATGCGCAACTCCCTGACAGGAAATGATGTATGCATTGGCAAACCAATGTTACTAGTCCTATCCTTTAACAAATATGTACGTACTATGTTTTAAAATACAGCAGCAATTTTAAGATGATTTGACTTGCCTGAGCATAAATTTTTTTCACCTTTGCAAGCTGGGATGCCTTTTAAGGTGATAACTTTCATTTGGCATCTTTTTTTCAGAAATGCATTGAGTTTTTCTTTAAATTGCTTTTATTTCATTTTAATGGCAAACATAGAAAAAACTTTACTACACACCAGAAAGTATTATTTCTCTATAACAAGGTTTGAGAAGCTGCCTGTGCATCATATAAAAGCAGTTATTAAACTAAATATTGTGCCTGCTCAGCAGCTATATTTCAGACCTCATCGTAAGCTTAAATTATCTTTTCCTCATAATTACTGCAAGCTTTAGCACAAATTTATGAATCACATCCCAAACAATGATTCAATCTCAGAATTAAATAAACTTTATAAGAAATAGATTCTTGGATGACAATCTATACAGAAAAATATAAAATACTAATCCAATGTGAGCCGCAATAACTGAAAGGTCCATAAACCTTGTATCAAAATAATATAAAATTTAGTTTTGTGCTTAGGAAAAGTCCCATTTTAAGCTGTAGGGCAGAGATATTTAACCTTCAAATAGTTGCTTTACTAAAAATATTAACTGATGGAATGACTTTTAATTACAACAGTACCTATATTTCCTCCTCATGCATACACCCATTCGTCCTACCATGAGAAGAGCTGAACAAAAGGGACAAATACTGAAAACAGTTATTTTCCCACAGAACATTTAATAACAGATTTTATTTCTATTTAGTAGAGGCAGGGAAGACCTTCTGCATTGCATTTCATCAATGAAGCTTCTTAAAAACAGCCTTTTACTTCAAAATCAAAGATGTATGAATTTCATGTTTGCAGGTATCTTCAGCACTAAGCAATGTTTCAAAGAGATGAATTTTGGTATGAACATTGCATACAAATTGCTGTCAAACTCTACATATCCTGTCCTAAGGGAATTTAGGTCTAACAGGAATTAGATCGTTCAAATTCCTAAGTATTTTTCAGATGTAGAGCTTATATTACCAAATAATTTCAGTAGTTTTGAAAACTTCAAATACTTTCTGACATAGTCCACAGGACTGCATTTGAGGAAACATATAAATAAATTAATAGCAATGTGAAGCAACATCTGTCCCTTATCCTTTCTCTCTGACAGTGCCTGCTTCTGCTAATGCTGCTCTCCAAAAAGTCCCTTTAAGGCACTGCAGAAGGCTCTGAAGAGCCCAGCGTGGAGGGAGGACTAAGACAGCAACAAGTTTTCCATACTTTGCTATCCAGTCCTGAGTTTTATGTATCAGAACAATATTTTCAAAAGATAATATTGCCTATACTTATACATATATATCCCCTATATACAGGCAGTATGGTCTGAAGCTGAAACGTATCCATAGCATGCTTTTATGAATTCTCAGCAATACATATCCAAAAAAACCTCACATTCATGTTTGTGTTTATATACATATTTTAGAACATGTTAACAACAAATTGCACTAATATAGATAAGCAACATCCATCCATGCAGTCTTGTGTCATCTGGCTGTTAAAATTATTCCTTTTTATCTTATGCCCCAAATAAAGCCTTCACTGGGATCAGGAGTTGGCCTCCTTGTTGTTCATGAATCAACTGTTTCCCTTCAGAGCTGCTCAAAACTACTGCCTTGCCCCTTGAAAATTTAAAAAGCAGAACTATTAATAGTTCCAAGTTCCTGTCTCAGAACACACACATATGCAGCTTTCTTTCTCAGTAGCCAAAAAAACCCTCACAAAAAAATCCAAAACCAACACAGAAAATACAACTATACAAACAAACAAACAAATCAAACCCAAACACAGGATGCACAAAAAACCTAAACCAAAATAAAATAAAATAAAATCTACCTCCTCTCTTCCACCTGAGGGATTCTATATTGATCTTTGGCATGGACAGTAGCCTCCAGATTCCTAATAAACTGAGTAACAATATTGCAGATATTGCAGGAAGAAGTAGAGATCAGGAAATGCCGCAGCTCAAAGTACAAAAACTCATAATAGACCATCCTACTCTAAAAAGCTTAAAAAAAAAAAAAAACAAAACTATAGAAGGAAAAATTAAGGATTAAGAAATAACAATAGAAGATGAGTTAAAAGTGGCATTTAAAAAATAACTAAAAACACCAAAGAAAGCAGGGGGACACACTCACAGAAAAAAAAAAATGGTAGTAGCAGAGTGCAGGGGAAAAATGATGGACAGCATGGAAAGCAAAAGACTGAAGAATGACATACACTGAGAGAGGGAGGGAGGCACATCTCTTTAAAATAAGACTGGGATGTGTTCTTTACTGGTTCCTAGCAAAATGAAGTTCTGACTTCCAGTGTAATTCCTCCTTGAGAAGTCTTCTAACCTTTATTCTGAAGCTCAGAGGCTCAAGGAATTAATAAATCATGTCATCACATGAACATAACACAAACATTCACAAAAAATTAAAAAAATAATAATAAAAAAAATTAGTATTCTTGCAAAGTTCCACATCGTACAGATAGTCTTTAAAATAACTAGAATCTAACTTGGAGACAATACCTGCTAAGTTACTCAGAGATGTCTCTTCTTGAATTCTTCGTTACCAGAAAACACCTGAAACTTTTAAGAGGACTGAAAATGGAGTAATCTTTTGCAAGATCACTTCACTGCAACTTTGTAAAGAATTGCAAATAGGTGACAACAACTACCAGTTCTTCCAGATGCTATTAGGATAAAGCATCTGGAAAAGAGACTCTAAACCAGTAACAAACATTTCATTGTTCTAAAAAATGAAACGTAGGAGAAAAGCTCAATGGAATAAAATTTCACACAGTGTGGCTCAATGCAAAATCAGACCACCTTGAAATTCAGCATGGAAAGGACTGTAAAATTTTTATAGGTTATTTTCCAAAAAGCAAAATATTTTGTAACAGAAAACATTACAATTTGGTGAATCAAGACCATGTCTCTCCAAAGCAATCTGAGAAGACTGAAGTATATATAACAATTACCAGTAGATATGAATGAGATACAGGATCTTAAGATTGCCACTTAGATAAATCTTACCTTAGAGACCAAAGCTGAATTTTATGTTTTTGAATTGTAATTCAGTTGAAAAAGAGAAATACATTTCTATGTTTCAGAATGATTCTTGTGTGCCTTCACCCAACTATTATGAGTTCTGTCTCAGATATCTAACTTTCTCAGTTTGGCCCCTGCCTCCAAATGAATTTGAACTGCATATGTTACCTGTTTTTGTCTTCATCGATGAAGAACATATTCCCTAAAAATGACATTGGCCTAAACGATCTGAAGCTGATATGACAAATTAGTTTCTTATTTGTGCCATCTGATGAAATAACAATATTTTTTCCTTCTGGGAACTGTACAGAAAAAGGGTAAATCCTGTCACCATCTTCAAGTTCAAGCTCTGGAAGTTCCACTTGAATTTGTGATTTCCTGTATTAAAAATAAATAGTAATGGTGTTTGTGCTCACAGGATGACAGTAATAAAATTGATCAATAGACTCACACATTTACAAAACTACTGCTTGCAGTTAAATACAGAAGAACAACTTCAGTTTTGAAATGTAAATCAAGTGAAACTAACTCTTTTAGCTAGCTCCTTTAACTCCTAATTCCTTTAGTGTTTAGATGCCAATTTGTTTTCTACATATATATCCAAACATTTTCTACTGACCCACAATAATTCAAAATCCAAATGAAGAGTAATTTCTACTAACTGTGCTACAAAGGGCATAAATATTACTTCCTTACTTTAGGTTTCCTAAACCTAAAGCATTCATTAATATTGATTAAACTGCTTTATTGCACAACAAGGTAAAGCAAGTTTTGAAATAGAAATATTAAAGGGATATTCATGAAGGTACTTAAGATGCTTTCTGCAGTTACATAATTTTAGGTTCCAGCTCTGAAATAAGAATGACAGTCAGTCCAGGCCCATATGGAATCCTTTCAGTTCTAACCACTGACTTACTGACAATATACAAATCCCTTGATGAATTACTACAATTCAAATGAGATAAGACGATAACAATTTGAAGATAAAGTTAATTTCATTAATTTATGGCAATTTAAAGAGTTTTGCTCCAATTCTGCTAGCATTGAAATGATACACACATAAGCATAACAAACTAATATTACTGCTCTTTACTAATTATAAAGAGAAAATCTGTGTCTTAGAGATCAGAAAATCATATTTCAACACACATGTACACAAGAGTGCTTGGAAAAATTAAAATAATAAGATTACTATCAAAACAGTGCTGGTTATGCTACATAACATGAGGATTACAAAGAGATTCTCTTATAAATTCAAATTACAGGACAAAGTGGGTAATCCACAGAAAAATGAAAAAAAATGGAATATTTATTATATTAAGTGACAGGATTAAAACATTTGTGCTGTCCTCTTTGGTATTAAAATTTTGCTTAGAAAAAAAGAAAAATTACATAAAAACCAAAACAAAACATCTCTCCCATCCCGCCAATTGTCGAAACAGCAGCTAGAATTCAAACAGTGCTTTATAACATATGGAGTAGAGAAAATAAAACAACAGAAAGATTTTATCTGATCACAATGCAAAAAAAGAAATAAGACTACAATCTCAGTACTCAGCTAAAGTTAATAAAAAAACAATCTTAGTCAGACTCTCCTTTTAATTTTTGGCTATTCAAAGTAGTTTCAAAAACATCTGACAGTGAATATATCAGAAGATGGTCACTTTGTGAAGCAGGAATATTGGGAGCACAGAACACGGGCTCGTTGAAGGTACAGCAATACTAATTATATTAATTTTCTCTTAAACACAAAAACTCTTTCTCCACTGAGCAGAAAATTAATACTAACCTTTACAAACAAAAATTAATCCACTTTTTTGGAAGAGAACAAAACCAAGAAGAATTATTCAGGATTTCTGTAATAAATCTATTTTGAGATCTTTACCTTAAATAGTCTTTTGGAATGATGTTGATGGTTGCTTCAGTTTTCACACACAGAGGAACTGGCATCAACATTAAAAATTGGGGATCGAAATCTATTTTTGGTGACTTCACAGTGCCAGACAGTGTTATTTTGTAATGTGATGGATTATCATTTACACACACTGATACCTCAGATGTGTATGTCCCAGGACAAGCTGTTAAAAAAGAAAAAAAAAAAGGAAAAGAAAAAGAAAAAGAAAAGGCACAAAATTATATTACCGTAAGTACATGCAACTAAAAGAGTTATTGTAAAAGGATTTGGTTCAGTTTTTTATAAAAAAAAAGTCATCAGTATTGCTTTCTTACTCAAAATGTGTCTTAACATACAGTAAATGTTGTATCAGAATTCTTTATTTAAAAAAGCTTAAAACACATGCCTGTACCAAAAAAAGAAATCCATATTTTTTTTTAGTTTTTCAAAGTTTGAGTTCTTCATTTACTGGATTAATATTCTTTTATATACAACACTGATGTAACACTTCTCAGAATATTAAGAATTGTAGTCATATCTTATATTATACTAATTAACACATAGAATGCTAATTTTATAAAGGAATAAATATCAGAAGCATCTGACTGCCAAGACAAGAAAAAGTTGGTGCTTCTGAAGATGACAATCACTGCCATTCTAACAGATGACTCTAAAACCTATACTGTTGCCAAGTCAGCAGGACAGGTTCTGCCCTCCACTGAGAGCATCTCCCACTTCCTTCTGTTCTGCCCCTTCTCATGCCATCTTGCTGAATGCTGCAAGGCAGTTTTCTCCAGGATGGAAAAGCCCATGTTCTTTCCCTGATACATGGAGAAAGGTGCTTCCTTCTGCAACTGCTATACTGTCAAAATGGTGTTCCAAACCTGCAGTGCCATTTACCAAATTTTCAGTCATTCCCACTTGCTGAAAAGCTAGCAAAACAATTTTGAGGGCCAACTAATGAACACCTCTTGTATTTAGAAACAAATCTGTATGACATGTTGGAAGAAACCAAAAACCTTTAATCTTTTCATTTTTGAGAAAAACACCTTTCCCTTTGATTCCCCTCTGTCATCAGATTAATAAGCATGGAAATATCCTCACCTGATATTTAAGAAGGGAAGAGACAGCCAAACAAATAATTTGGTATTTTATGTGTCTGTATGAGCATATATGTGTTATTGCAAACAAAATACACGTGACAAGCTCTTCTGAGATCAGCTCAGATAATTATTTTCACAGCCTGAGAAAGAGCTGTCATTGTTTACATACACAAAGAAGAAAACCTAGTGTCTTCAAAATATTTTGTCTTATTCCCTCCTCAGAAGAGCCAATTTCTTCACGCAGATGATAATAGAGGTGCTCCACAGAAGTCTGTTAGCACATCAAACATGGTCTGTGGATCCCTTAGTTTCAGACCAGAAAACGTGAAACTGGCAAAGTGAAAACCAGATGACAGGGGAACTTACTGCAACGTTCGCAACATCTGACTAATTCCCTGTTAAATAGAAATCAACTTTAGGAGACAATACTGCTGAGAAATGTAAGAATCTTGTGCTTCTAGGTTTTGAGACACTGAGAACACACTTTTTTTCTGACACATAGCCCAGTGCCCGGAAAGGTGAGAGAGCAGCAGAACAGGTCATGGAGATTTATAAAGAGCTAAACAGGATATTTTTGACATGCTTGTAAGAAAAGGTGTTCTATACAAGTTACTCCCATGTATAAGCTAGACAGTTTACTGTCCTACAGCTGAGCTCTAACTAAACTGCATTTCTGGTATCCTATCTTCATACATATGTATGACATACAGTAAAGGAAAGTGAAAGGCCATAACCAACAAATGCCATAGGGATGGAATGCCATGAAGGAAGAAAACAAGAGGAGCATATGTCAATACCAAAGAGAGGCCATTTTCACTAATCAACATTATTTTAAAATATTTGTATTAAACCATAGTTCCAAAGTTAAACTTTCAAAAGTTAGGAAAGAATAACATTAAGCTTTCTTCATAGAAAGTTTCCATCCATCCTGCACATAACAGTTGTAACAAATCCATTAACTACACAATCATATCCCTTTGCCATAGAATCCCTGACTCACTCAGAAGGCAGAACAGACAGTGCTTATTCTGCATCACTGAGCATTCTGCGTGTGGCTCTACACATTTACTAACATCAAAATCCTGCGTAGTATGTAAGCCAATAATTTATGGCCAATGTCAGAAACACCAGGATGTTGTGACACTCTCCTCATTTTAAACAGACAGAAAGACAAAAAAGTGAATGATTCCATTAAGTTTTGTTCATTAATTTGCAATGCCTCGACCAATGTTTTCAGGGTATTTCATGTTAAATAAATTACTTTGAAATTAATGAGAATTATGTCCTGAACTAAAAGTTGAAGTCATGGATTTATTCTATTAATCACACCTTTCATGACTACTGTCAAAGCTTGTGCTGATGTTATCATTCTGATGTACCACCATTAATTTTTACAGGTCAAACACCAAGCAGTCAAGCAGACGTGAATTTTTTCCTGAGAGGTTAGATGGTATTTACAAATCTGGTAATCGAAGTTTTCCAAAGGTTAAAAATATCTGTAGAATTATATGTTTCTAGATATATTTATTGGGGGAAAGAAAGATTCATTGTGTTACCTTAGAAAAAACTCTGAATAAAGGAGCATAACTTCTCAAAGTACATATCATAAAATCATTTAGATTGGAAAAGACCTTTAAGATCATCGAGTCCAACCTAGCACTGCCAAGTCCACCACTAAACTATGTTCCTAAGTGCAACATCTACATGGCTTATAAATACCTCCAGGGATCTGGACTCTACCACTTCCCTGGGCAGCCTGTTCCAGTGCTTGACAACCCTTCCATTGAAGAAATTTTCCCTAATATCCAATGTAAACCTCCCCTGGTGCAGCTTGAGGCCATCTCCTCTCATCCTACCGGTTGTTACTTGGGAGAAGAGACCGACTACAACCTCCACATTCATTAGCTTCTCTATTTTCTGTCTAATTTGCACTAGAAAACACATCCAGTTCAGAATGCCTAACTCCCTAGCATGCTGTCCCGAACTATACTTTATGCAGATTCGTTGTTGATAGAAACATAAGCAGATAATATTTATGCTGAAAGCCAGTCTTGCACATATGTAAGTTTTCCCAATACTGCTCACACACCTAAGGAGGAGAAATCTTTCAAGTCCCTTCTTGCCTTCCACTCTTTCTATTTCAGTTACAACTTAAACTAGCAGCAGAAGTTAAATGGTCACCTCTTTAAGGCCTTCCATATACCTTGTTTCTCTCTAGCAGCACAAATCTAATTTTTAATTTTCCCCCAACCCCTAGAAATCTTAATTGTGTAATAGCATGATTTTTGATCTTTTGAGAGTGGGCGGAAAGAAAGTGAAATCACCATCTGCTCCTCTCACCTTCTTAAGTCTGTATTAGATTGGTATTCAGTTCCTACACTTGTCTTCCAAATAATAAACATTTTTAGTTGAACTGCCTTGGACTTTCTGATAATTCATGCCTTATTGCATATATACACCTTCAGCGTAAAGGGTGTAAATTGGCACACCTTCAGGGTGCCAATGAAGAATTTGCATACACTGAAATGCAGGCTTCAAAGCAGAAAAGTCACAGGTAGTTAAAACCTAAAGGTAAAATCTACAAAAAATAACGTAAAAAAAGTCAAGAACAAACATCATTTCACCACAAAAACTGCTAAAGGGCATAGCTACTAAATATCTTACTGTTGCAGAAAAAAAAAAAAACCTCTAGAAGGTGGAGGCCATGGTGGTTATCTGTGCCATTTACATAACCATCACATCTTCCAGGGACACTGAACTGGTAACTCACGGGTGCATTCTTGAGTATTTTTCCACACAGGATCCCAGAGCACAGAATTATTGTAACTTCCTATGCTGCGGATAAGTTTTTTACTATCACAATAAGATTTTCCATACACTGTTAATGCAATATACTATAGTACAGCAGAGGAGGATCATATTAATATACCTTCAGTTCTTGAGAATCTGTATTAAACTTAGCATAGTTTTTTAACAGGTAGCATCATATTATTATGCATTATATAAACTCTTGGATTTAATTTAACACTGTAGCTTACTATAGCATTTTGCACTCTCATAAATATTGGGGCATATTTAAACAAGTTATTTTAAGGTTTCTTCCCACACACACACTGCAACTTTACTCTTTAGTAAAGAGTACAAACCTATGAAGGTGATTAGCACATGATATTCATTAACCATTAACCAGGTCTCCTGTATGGCCTTTGATATATTTAATGTTCTCTTACAAGAAAGAGTAATTATATTCAGTTAAGATATTGCACATAGGCTATAAATCATGGGAAAATACTTAGAACATTGAATTAAAGTAAATTGATACAGTTATTTATGATTTTCTGTATATAAAATATATAGAAATGCAGCAAAACCACTAATAATTTCAAATGAAATTATTTGTCAGTAATATTTATGTATAGACACATCTGCATTTACAGATAGAAATAAAAACCAATATTTTGAATTACTGAATTAATTGTATGTTGTTCTCTGCTTCACTCTTTTCAATACCCAAGCAATTTTAATACATTCTCATAATGTAAGTACCTAAATAGAACAACCATCATATGAATGATTATTTCACCTATTCTTTATCACATGATCCCTCTCCAACAGCTGCACAAAATAGTACTAGAATTTTCTTCAAAATAACTTCCAGATAGTGATAACTTCCAGATTTTCTCCTATGATATCTCTATGCATTTTCTCCAGTCTTCTTCTCATCCTGCTCCCAGTGTTAAACCTCTTCTGATTTTTTAAATTCTAATGTTTTCTCACACCCTGGGACAATATGTTCATTCAATTCACCTGGTATACTTGGATTTTCTATTTCCTATTGCTCCTAAAACAAATTTTATTTTGATAACCTACATAAGTTATCACTAAAAACTGATTAAGGGCCTGTATGGATGAGATGATAATGAGATCACATAATTTGGTTCCAAAACCAAAGAACACAGGAAAGACATAGACCTTCTGGAGCAGGTCGAGAGGAGGGCCCACAAAAATCATCAAAGGTTGGAGCACCTCTCGAATGAAGACAGGCTGAGAGAGTTGGGGTTGTTCAGCCTGGAGAAGAGAAGGCTCTAGGGAGACCTTATTGCAGCCTTTCAGTAATTAAAGGGCGCTTATAAGAAAGATGGGGACAAACTTTTCAGCAGGGCTTGTTGAATAGGACAAGGGGTAATGGCTTTAAACAAAAATAGGGTAGATTCAGACTAGATATAATGAAGAAATTTTTTCAATGAGGGTGTTGAAACATTGGAACAGGTTGCCCAGAGAGGGGGTAGATGCCCCATCCCTGGAAAACAGTCAAGGTCAGATTGGATGTGGCTCTGAGCAACCCGATCTAGTTGAAGATGTCCCTGCTCATTGCAGGAGGGGTGGACTAGATGCCCTTTAAAGGTCCCTTCCAACCCAAGCTAGTCTATGATTACACAAAGTACAAAATAGAACCTACCTAATAAAAAATGTTTATTGCATTGATCACATTTTTATGGCTATTTCATAAACACATGGTTCACAGCCAAAAACCAGGTTTTGTGCAATTTACTTTGGAGGAATGTAGGGGAAAAGTGATGCAACAAAGCCAGAAATATGCTTTACATATTTTTGCTCAGCTTTCAAATAGTAAACAGCATGTAACTTTCTTCTAGCAGTTTAATTTGCACTAATATATGATTTAAAAGAGTAATTTAAATACATGCTTCGAAATGGACAGCTCAGAAGTGTAAAAGCTATACCTATAGATAACTGGATCAGAAACTTTCCAGGTATTATAAGCACAAAGAAATACCACTTCCAGAAAGTCAGGATTTGCTACTCAAAACAAAAATTACAGTGTTTAAAGCAAACAACTTTCAAGTAATTCTGCAAAAATCTTTATATATTAGTTACTTTTCCGCTTCATGAAGCAAAAACACAAGTTGATGTGATTTCTCTTCAACCATAAGTTGAAGACAAAAGCTACCAACAACACATAAAACATAATGGAAAAATGCTTTGAAGTACAGCAAGGACCTTCAAGTAACATGTGCAATTAAATACTGCTCTTGCATACTCACAACAAGCTTGCAGAGCAACATTTAATGCAACCTTCTCAATTTATCATATAGAATCATGGCAAGACTCTTTCACCTTTTATTTATTTACTTATTTATAATCATATTAAGTTGTTCCCAGTGCTTAATTGTGGCTATAGATTTCAACCCTATCATAAAAAATAACTGCAACTTCTTTCTTTTGGACAGAAATGCCCACCTGCTGACTCAGGATCAGATTCAACTGACAAAATAACTTTTCTTCCCCTTGAGAATGCTTGAGCCCCAAAAGTAGGCCACTTAAAATTGTCAAAATGACTCTGAATTCTGTAAGCATGAGCTGCATACACTGGTGGACTTTAGCAACTCAAATATAGAGTCACTTTACTCTATACCCTAAAGACTTGGCTGGGAATAAGGTAGAATCCTAATACTAGAAAAGGAATGGGAGAAGATGAATATATGTTGTTGATTATCATCTTCCTGCATGCTCCCGAGTTTTGTTAGAAATCTATTTTATGTTTTTTACTTCCAGTCTGGTTGCCTGAGCAGACTACTCAGAAAATACCATAGCTAAATGATTTTATATCTCATTGAGGCTAGAAGTTTCCATTCTTATCTAAATTATGGCTATTTAGAACAAAAAAGTTCAAACACATTCCAAGTACACTTGGAAAGCTTTAGTGTGCAAGTCAGTCAACCTAAATGCATATGTAAGAGCAGTGCTGAAAACAATTCAGCTGTCCCTGCCTTTGATGTTTTATATGTGCAAAATTTGATGTTTTATATGTGCAAACCAGACTTTTCAAATAATGCTATCAAGGGATTCCATACTTTGCATTAGGTCTGCAGCTCTCTTATTTTCTCAGAATCACAACAAACCTTTCTTCTGGCATTTTAGTTCATTATTTAGTCATGTTAACTGGAAGTTAATCAAAAGAAGCACTAGCTATGATTCATCATAAAAAGTCAAGTAAACAAATCTATGAAACTGGTATATTGGTGAATCTGTAGAAGAACTCAGAAAATTACTTACAAGGGCAGAAGAATACAGCAATACTGATTTTTTCTCCTGGGTCAAGAACTCCAGCCTGCGGACTAAATTTAAAAATACCACCTTCTGTATTTTTGACTGCATCATCACAATTCAACTTCCATGTCAACAGTTGCCTTGAGGTATTCTTCAGGTCAAGATTCTGTAAATATTAACAGAGAAAAGAGGATATGATGAAAGAGGGAAAGCAGTAAACACCATGATACTTTTCACATTGCTCTATCTTAAACATTCTTTTTGTAATCAGATCAGAGTGAAATCAAGAAAGCACTAGAAAGCAATGAAGAAACTGGTTTATTTTATCTGTAAGCTGATGAATATGTCTACCAGCACAGACTAGGTGCCTTCCAGTCACTCATCGCATTCATGTTCTTTGAATTCTTTCCAGAATGGAAAAATCTCATTTATGCAAGGTAAATAGAACAAATCGGTGGGGGGCTTAGCCAAAAAGAAATGAGGAGGTTTTTTTGATGCAAATGAAGCACACAAGCACTAAACATATGGCTCGTGACACCTAGACTTACAAGTGGATATGTTGAAAAATCAGGAAGTTCAGAATAGGTTTTCAAAATCCATTCTTTCAATTCACTAAGACGACAGTGGAAACAAAAAAAAAAAACCCACCTCTATTCCTTTATCTCAGAGTTACTCTTTCAACTCCTAACACGTCCAATAGCTAAGAAAAGGCATTGACTTTGTACTATCATTGTTTTCTGAAAATACTTGAAAAAAGTTTCAAGTGTTTTCATCATTGTCAAAGCCTATCTTTTATAGTCTCCAAACAAAAACTTTGGGAATTAGAAACAATAAATTATACTATGGTCTGTTTCACATTTGTACAACCAAATTCTCTATGTTCTAAAACAGAATAGCTGTGGCCAAATATCTTATCTAGTGCTTCTTTCCCACTAAGCCCTAAGTCATGACCAGGAATTTTTTTGAAGAGTGCCAGTTGGTACTGATTAGTACATACAACATACTGGGACAGCAATTGAACTGTATGGAACACCATGGCACATCAATTGCATTCCTGCACTGTCACTGTCTAGGTTTACCAGTATAGGCAGAGACAGAAAATCTTTGGAAGTAAGCTATTTCTTACACACAATTCCTAGTCAGTTTCTCACAGTGCCCATGCTTTCTCATGTGTCAGAAAGTCAGGGAAAGCTCAATTTTGAGTTTTGGAAAAATTTCTAGTGATTAAGAGACAAACATAAAATCAAAATGACAATGGGAAACTTTTAAATATTTAAATCATGTATTTGGAACATGATTGAATTTTGAGTTCCAAATCCTCATTCCTTTCCGTCATTTTTGAGTAATTAAAAACTGTAGCCAAGAAAAACTTCAACAACATCTGTGATTATGTACCTGAGAACTCACTCTTTCATCAGCAGTATTGACGCGTATGCTACTTGAATGTTGTGCAAATTTAAGTTCCATTGAGGAGAACTCCAATGGTGATTTAAGTGCTGTTGGAAAAATTAAAGATGTTTATAGAGCATTATTTTCACAAATATTTCCCCGAAGTCCCTTCAAAAAAAATCATTGTTTCTGTACATGTTTAGCAGAAATGTTTCTCCCCTTGTTTTAAAGCTGCATTTTCTTTCTGTTGTTCCCATTACATAAACATAATAACTATAATTTAATTTTCTGTCTTATTATGACCCTTTAGTCACATTAAAATTATTTAAATCTTGTATCTACCAGACTTATAGCATCTGTCCTTCACATATTGATGCTATAAACTGAGAGCCACAAGATCTTAATACAGCGGATTAATGCATTTACATTTGTGACCATCATCATCGGAAAAGACTTGAAAGATTTTATTTGAAAAAACAGCTTTTCTTTTAATTTCATATAGTTGGAACAACAAAACCATCACAAGTGATGTAGTTTAAAGTGAGGATTTTGAAAAACAAAGGTATAGATTCCCACAGTCTCGTTTCGCTTCTTGATTAAACACTGGCAATTAACCTACCAAGCATACAGTATTTTTTTATTAAAACCTGCAAGTTTGTTTCATACTCAGTGAGAAAGTGTGCTGATCAATTCTCTTCTTCCCCCAAAAACCCAAAGGATTTCTTAATCACATATCTCACATTATGTACACAACACTACTATCTGTATTTCTCTAAAGCACAGGCATATAAACTCTATAAACTAATATTGTTTCAAAGTAGGAACCTAATCTGCTGGAATGCTTCCATCAATATGCAATTATGTGACTCATGAAACCCTCACCTCTCATAGAAACTGCCTGTACAAGGAAAACACAGCAAGACTGAAAGACCAGGAGGGAAAGGAAATCACCTACCCTATGAAAAAAAATTGTGAGTCTGATTAATAAAAAAAAAAAAGTCAGCTCACATGAGGTTATTACATTGATAACGTGTCCTCTTCCTTTGTGCCTGGCTGAGGCAGGGCTTGGGTCTTTTCAGTTGACTTTTCTGGTTTGGTTTTGTGTTTTTTTTCTCTTTCAGTGCTTTCTTATATACAGACAAGCAGTCCCCAAGGGAAAAGTCTTAGAAGTATTTAAGTAAGAGACCTGCTTTTTTCCACAAGCGCTGAAACAGTCTACTAACTTTGTTTTTTAAAAAATATGAAAAAAAGATTCATGATGGATTGAAAACATATTGACTATACTGAAGTTAAAGGACTGTGTTGACTACTCTGAGATTACTGTGATTCTTTTCTGAGGGTGAACAATCCTAAGTACAAACATCACGTATGAGCTATTGATTTAAGTGCCAGCTGCACTGTCCTGCGCAGTCTGAATCCCAATCAGCAATGTGCCATAAAGCACACAGTAGTGAGATTTAGGCATATTTGTTAAATCATAACTTAGAACTTGCAAGAAGCATCTTACCCACTTTCAGATTTTAAAGTGACAGTCTGAAATGATGAATAAATAACAGACATAATTTTTAAGTTGTCAGAATGTAATAAAATTATTAAGTTATTTTTTTAACTATAAAGAAACTTTGGCTAGTTGCCTGCATCTGTATGACTATGTGAAATACTGAGCAGTCAAGAGTTTTATTTAGACTTCTCTCCCTCCTCTCAGACCATCAAAATTCCCAGTAAGAATATAATTCCAATACTCAAATTTAAATAGCAGCCACACTTTATTTTTTCAACTACTTATTAGAATTGAAATTATTATATATTCACTTTAATATTATGATTTATGATTACTTGTTGTTGGCCTGCACTGGTACTTTGAAGAAATTCTATGCAGCAGAAGCAGAAATTTGTGATAATATTTAGATGAGACTGTCATTTATTAGCGAGACTTAGCAATTTTATTGATTCATTATTCCACAAAGAAAGGGAAAAGGAAATAAGCATTTTATTTTCTCTTCAGGTTACATAAATCACTTCTGTACTACAAATTTGTGACTTTGATTCATGGTTTTTTACTTGGAGACGTGCTTTCTAATAATCTCTTATACATATGTACATTTATCTTTATTCCAGGTGCTCTTAAACTAAATATATTTAGAAATGCTTTGTATGAATTTATTTCCATCACAGGATCTAAAGAAGACTTCTCAGATTCCTTTGATATCTTGAAAGATCGCAAAAGTAAGACTTAAGTTAAAGCCTTACAAAAAAATATAAAACAAAAATCCCATAGAAAACTAATAAATTGGAGTTCCTTTTACCCCACATTATGCATTTAATTGGCCAAGACTCTTTCAGTGCTCCCATGACATTTAAATGTTATACAAACATCATTTCCAGGAAGACACTTGGCACTTAAAATCTCATCTCAAATAAAAAGTGACTACACGTTAAAAACTGAGATGAGGAAAGCTAGTGGCTTCAAGTATTCACAATGTGTAGGTCTATATGACTAAAAGGATCAGACAGGAGACTAAAGAGAACCACAAATTATTTTTAAGAAAAGCAGAGAGGAACCATTTAAGATATCAATTTCTTGCTGTAGGCAAATGGCCTGTAACTTTGGCTATTCACAAACTCTGACAGGCCAGAAAAGTGCAGCTGTGTGTATAAAAGCCAACAGAAGCAAATGGCCTATATTACCACCAGTTCTTTCAGATAAGATCAGGGCCAGTCAGAAGCATTGTAAAGGAATTTTAAATATAGCTAGACCTCCTAGTTTTGACCAAGCAATACTAGAAAAGAAGATTATAAATGACATACTACTTCTCTACACTTTTATAAATACTGGGGTCTGCATGACAAGATCTACAAATACTAATGAATGGAAACAAAAGTGAGTTTTGGTAAACTAATTTTTATATAAGGCAAATGGCTATATAAAACAAAAATAAAATCCCCAGCACATCATAACTTTCTATATAAATTTCAGCACATATTTAAAGATACAAGTCAAAATTTTAAAATTTTGCAAGTTTCCAAGACTTTTATAAATTATATAATTATCAATCAAATTTAATTTAAGCAGTACTTCTCTGCAATTAGAATAACGAGCAAAAACATCCCTATAGATACAAGTATCCACCATCTGCTTATGTCTCTAGTTTACCTACCAACTGCTTTAACTCTACAGAATGGAACAGCCCCAGTCACCGCCTGCAGCTGAGGACTAACGATGTGCTTCACAGATTCAACAGAAGTTGTAGATCCAGGGATTGGCTGTGTCAACGGGCAGTCAGCTCCAGGAGTATTGACTGGAAGAGTGAAGTCATATGCTGCCACCTAAAGGACAAAAGAATCATTGTGGATCACTTTCCCAAAGAAATTGTGGTTCTTGAACCATATGCGTGGTATTACCATTTCAGAAGAACTACTGAAATTAACTTACGACCCCATTGTGACATTAATAGGATGCCTTTTTATTAGCATGTACTATAAGTCTTTTAAGTAAGCAGTGCCCAGACATTTTTTTTTTCCCCCAGGAAGGAAAAAACTGTGTGCCACAAAGTATCAGGGTTATCAGCTCAGCTACAGAAAAGGCTTCTGGTAAATCACTGTGTTGTGGTCCTTTCCAACTGCTCTCCTAAGTGGACAGAGATTGGAATGGTGGCCCAAATAAATAAGCACAAGAGAGGAGGATGAAACAAAGCTACGTAAATTATCAATTTCTCAAACACTGAAGAGAAAAGGCCAGCCATTACAGTATATCCAGCATAATCAAAATGGGCTCTAAGATCAAGGTGGAGCATGATTTAAAACTGAGAAACCTCAGAAACTAAAAAAAAAAAAAAAAAAAAAAAAAAAAGGGAGGGAAAGAAGACCCTTAAAAACTTTGTCATTGAACCCCATTGAATTCCAGGAGTCTAAATTCCAGTGATTTTGATACCAGTTTTCTCTCTGTAATCACATCCCCGAGTGAACGTGGCTTAGAATTTAATATAGCATGTTTTATACAAAATAATCTTTTTGGAGGATTGAGAGGCCAAATTCATTTTGCAGTGAACTTTCAAGGAGGTATCTCTTGCCTCTCACTCTGTCTTTCCATGGGTCAACACGTTAGAGCAGTATGTTCTCCACACAAAAAGGTACGGGCAACTACAACAAAGGTAACAGAAGAAAAACCAAAACTTCTACACTGAAACCACTCTTGGAGTCCTTCAAATTCTACAACTCTGTTTTCACCTTGAACAACAATGAAATCTGCACAACGGACTCTGGCCTATAAAATCTGAGTGCTTCTTAAAATTTGCAGTAAAACCAGATATATAAAAGTTATGAATCATTTAAAAGCTTTCAAAACCTGCAGAAAATAGTGCATCATGCTTCACTTCAATATATTTGGTAGTGAGTAGAATATATAAACTACAGGTAAGAAAAAAATCTTTTTGTCCTAAGCCAGGAAATGAGACATCTCCATCTGTAATAGAAGCAACACTGAGCTTAGATAATGAGGAGGAAGTAAACAGCCCTTACAGTGTTAGGATTTCCAGCAGGGTTTGTAACACACATTTATGAGCCTCTGGTGAGCGAGACGTGCTGAACACTGTGGAACATTTTGTGTATTTTTGCTTAGCAAGAGGGAAGCATAGGATGGGGGGAAGTTTTTCTAGTAAGATCACCACAGTCTCTTAATTTATACTGAAACTTCAAATATGATAATGATTTGATTCTACGACACGGAATTGCATTTTTAAAAATTAACATGGTGAATGCCATTAAAGATATTTTAGTAACTAATGCTTGAGGTGTGTAATAAACAAAGACTGAATAAAAGACTCCTGATTTTATTTACATGCTCATCTATTTTTAGGTCTTCAAATCAGCCACGTAAAATACTTCAAGTTACATCAAAATACGCTCTTGTGGCATAAAACCACATAATTAGACTGAGAAGGATCTTTTCTTCATAGTCTAAGAAGTTCTTTTCACTTCAAAGTATGTGTGAAATACATGATTTCACGTCAGTAACAACAGTGACTCCATACAGTTTTAGAGAAACAACTGACTATCTTTTCTTGTGGTTGAGGCTAATGAGCATTGCATTTCAAGACTGTGAAATCTGCCAAAAAAAAAAAAAAAAGCTTTTAAAATCCTTCCCAAAAACATAAGAGAAGTCTGATAGAATAAAGCTGACTACAGAGTTATTTTTGGTAACCTTGATAGCTGTTAAAATACATATGTAGGAGAAAGCTGAAAAGTAAACCAATACCAGAGAGAGAGAAAATAAATAAATAAATAATTTTACAGGACTCTCTAGATCGAGTGCCTCATACAAGAGTCACAACACAGACACAGTCTGAAGATTCTGTCACACTCCTTTGGCTCTATGAGAAGTTTGCTATATTGGGTATGTGTACCCAGCATCCAGCTTCAGAAATGTAATATGTAAAATGCTGCATAAATAACAAAACTTATCTCCCAAGCTTTATGGGTCGCTGTGAGGAGAAGAGAGATGACCACATGTCTCAGTGCACATCTCGGGTTCTGAGATTCCTCCCAGCCTTGGCAGCTCCCTATAACCAGCAGGTACTTTCCTACGTGGGCAATTCTAACCCTTGAAACACCATTGCCAGCAATTGTAGTAAAAAAGTCAGCTAGAAAATCATTTCCATCCCTAGCATGTATGACATATATAACAACATCATGGCACTATGTTTTTAAAGTTTGATAAGATTTAAATTCTTAGTCTATAGTAGATATCATTACAGCATTGGCTATGCAAAAGAGTGTAGTCTACACTGCAATTGTTCTTCATCAATGATGTTATGTTTAGGTTGGATAACAAAAGATGGAATCCCTTTATCTCTCTCCCAAAGCAGCTATTCAAAATTTGTTTTTCACCCTCACTATCAGGAAAATTTGATTTAACTTTACTATGCAACAAGGGTTTTATTTCCTAAGAACTGGCAAACAAATATGTGCACGGCACATAATTAACTACAAGTAGGACACAGTATTTACTGAAAACCGCATTTGCTTTGAATTAATTAACTACAAGTAGGACACTTAATTAACTACAAGTATTTACTGAAAACCGCATTTGCTTTGAAGTACAATGGTACAGAGCCAGCATAAGTCATAGAAATGCATTTATATAATTGAGAAGAAATCATAGACCTTTTGTTCCATTCATACATATCTTTGTCTCATTAATTGCACATTGACCTGTACTACAAATGGAAAATTCTTTTAAAATTCTACATATCTTGAAATTATGTTGTAATTCATCCAGACATACACACATTGCTGAAACAGAATTAAAACCTAATTTCATTTTTTAGGACTTCACTTTGCAAGTAGAATCATTATTTTTCTTTTTATACATATTTTAAGAAAAAAAAAAAAGATTATTTTTTTTAAATTTTTTTAACTCCAGTGGAAAATTGTAATGTTATATACTAAAAAAAAATAATGACAATATTTTAAAAAAAAAGTCCTTATACTATTACAGGACTTGCAGTTACTTTTTATATAATCTGTATTACTTCACTGTTATTTACCTATTGAGATATTTTTCTGAAGCTGCATTTCACTTCATAAACCACAGAATACAGGGAGGGGCAGGAAGCAAGCAGCACAGAGAGAGTTCTTACACAAACACTCAAGATTGTTTATATCATTATAAGAAATATTTTTCCTGTCCTGATTTACACTAATTATGCACGTTAATTGGAAAGGAGGCATAATCTACAAAGTGGTAGTCTTAGCAATTAAAATACTTCAAAAGAAGCTTTAAAAAGACTAGTCACGTGAGACAAAGGAGCTTTTTGTTATGCATTCACATAGAACACCTCCAAAGTTGCTAGAAAAAGACATGTTTGTGTAAGCAGCCATGAGAAGATAACAATAAAACTGATGCTCCTGCAAGCTTTTATGTAGAGGTCATTTTAAAACGCCTTCCTTTTTTTTTGTTTTTGCTTTTTTTTCTAGAATTGCTAAACAAATAAAAGTTGTTGATTTCAAGAAACCTGTCTGATCATGAAAGCTCTCTACTGAAACTCATTTGAATCTATGAAATAGGTGCGATACAAAGTTCATGTTAGATCTAAGCCCAACACTGGAGAGTGAACACAGCTGAATGGCTCCCTGCCTCAGGCCTAAATATTCAGTATATTGCAAGAAACAAGGTCCCTTCCAACCTAGACAATTCTATGATTCTATGATCCATGACAATTAAAACAGTCTGTTATATAAAATTCTTGCATAAAAAAATTAGCAAACATAAGCACAGCTGTCATGTTGATGGGGGGAACCTAAGAGTAGAAAAAAATTATTTTCAAAAATCGCTTTCAAAGCCGTTACTTCATTTTTGTCTTTACTAAGTACCCGCAATGTAATAATATTTTTATGCTTTATAAAATATATTTTGCTAATTATTATTGTAATACAGCACATATTCTCCAGGTTAAGTAAAAATATTGCTGTTAAATCCAGGATTCCTATAGTTTATTTAGCACAAAGAATGTGATGCCCCTAAAATTACAGTACTTGCCTTCATGGTACAACTTCACAAGGAATTGGAAGTAAATCAGTAAGCTAATTTATAACTAAAAACATTTGTGAAGGATAATATTCTTGTCTTTATCATATAATAATACGCAGACTTGAATAAAATAACTTGAAGCATTAAGTCACTGAATTTTTCAAGTTTATTTATAGCACTAACAACATACAGATTCAGCAGTGATACTAGGACAGAAAAAAGTAATTTACCTTAAAAAAATAAAAATAATTTTGATTCAAATTTAAACCTAACTGCAAACCCAAGGATTTATGTCCTGCAACTGTGTACAATATACATCCTCAACCTCCCCTCAAATTTAACATGAGCTTTTCCTTAAAACATACTGAAATCTTTCATGCAGCCTGAATTCCCCAGCTTTACATCACAGATAAGCAGCTTTCCACAATGAATAATGGAGCTAGTGTTCAAAGTCATCATTCAAAACACTGAAATAAAACTAAATCTTCCCATGTATACAGTCAGAGATGATGCATCAGCAATACCCTGTAATTTCACAGCTGCAGATTTTCCACAGAATTAACTCCTTACATGATGAATTCTGTTCTTTCATTTAAAAAAAAATATTACGTCATTAAAAATGGCAAAAAACCCCAACCAAACCACCTGTCACTTCTCTACAAAAAGCTTAAGCAATAAGCTCTGACAGGTGTGACTTGCTCTATTTATCTCAATCAAAGACACTCTTAGGCTTCATTATTACACAGCTGTGTATTTTGTCTTTTTTCCAAGACTTTGAAATCTATTATTTTCCAGCAGGGTAAGAAAAGAAGAAAAAAGAAAAGTTATTTTGAAGCAGTACAACTCCCACACCTTGCTTTGCCTGCTTTCCTTACCAGGCCATGCATGACACTGCTGCTACCAGGTGGATCATCCTGCCTGGAGAACCACAGTGACAGCTCAGGAAAAAAGATGAGCAAATATTTAAAGTGACCACATGCTGCCTGTTTCCCTGGCACAAAACCAAAGTACTGAGGTCCTCCTCACTGTTACCTGGGCAGGTAACTTGCAGAAAGAAAGCCATGGACAGAAAAGCCATGTCTCTGTGCTTCTTGAGCAGTATAATTTAAAACTCAGTTCAAAAATAATCACTGCTAGCAATCAATCAATAAATAATATTATTAGTAATAATTCTTAGTTCTGTCTCTGCATAGGGACTGAAGGAGCTACACCTGATATTTGGCCAGATAGTCACGGGTTTTTTTGTTTGGTTGGATTTTTTTTGTTTAATTACCAGATTATTTTTTGTATATTCAGCTCTGAAATAAGAACCCTGCCTGGCCCATCAGACCTTCAGCTGGCTAAACCTCCTTACACTGTTCTGAAAATAACCTAAAATTCAATTCAAGCATCTTTCAAATAAAACTATATCACAACAGAAAAGAAAGCAGCATACAGCCTGTATACAAATATTAAGAAGTACTTGCTAGCTTACCTATTTATAGATGTAATTGTATACTGCTTTCACTTACATCTCTGACTTTCACAGCGAACAAACACCAACATTAAACTCTCTCTGGTGAGGTGAGAGCCAGTGTCACCTCTAACACCTCCTTAGACGCTGGAATAACAGGAAGGCACAGCCAGGCCGCGTCTGAGCAGCATCCTAGCCTTATCTATAATGCATCAACTTCATTTTACCACTTAGAGCATTGGTAGAATTATCTCAAAATTCTTTTAGATGTTATTCAATAAGCATGCCAATACACTTCATCTCTAAAAGCATCTTTTGATGTGAGAGGTATTTGTACATACCAAGTTTTAGTGAGAATGGAAGGAGTTATTCAGAGTTCCTAGTGTTCCGGTGTTTACTTCCATTTGTTGATGTGAAGCTTTCTGAGGCAGAAAGAAAGCTATTGCCAAGTTGCCTTTTAGCAGGAGAATTCAAGACTGCAGTCAAGACTAAATTACTTGGAACCTTACATTAATAATTCAAGTAGTTTTAATAAAATTTTAAAGCGTATTAAAATAATTTCATCTTCTTTGTGATTTTTTTAAACCAACACTTCAGAATTAGTTTGGTTTAATTTTTCCTTTTTCTAGTATGTACTTTCTTAGCAATAACACCAATATAGTGGGGGTTTGTTGGTTTATGGGGTAGCGTTATCAGTAATGATAATAACAACAGCAGGAAGTTTTAGTAGAACCAGAAGGCGGAGAGAAAAGAATGCAACTCGATGGGGTACAGAGGGTTTGTAGCAGCTGGGAGGCAAGCTGGGTAAAAGCAGTTGTCCAGAAAACGGTGGTGAGATCAGAGAAACAGCTGTTCAAGTGCAGAGGCAGGAGACAGCCCTTGCAACCGTGAAACCTGAAGAGTGGAAGTGCAATATAAGGAGAAGATGGGTGGTTTTTTCAAGACTGGAAAGTCAGGAAAGAGAACAAAGATATCTGGTGAGAAAAGGGGGAAATCTAGATGAGGTAGAATGGTAAAGAACTCAGATCCAATGAGGTATGGTTTAAGAATCAGTAATTACTGAGAGTTCCTAATCACAATAAGAGAAGCACAGCATTTTGCTTCTCATTTCTATGGACAATCTTTCAATTAGGACAAAAATTCAAAATGGCAGTGAATACTCATGATTTTAATGCTATTGTAACAGGTTGTTTTTGTAAATGAAACACACATCTTAGAGGACTTTACTGGTAAAATAAAAATCAAATCTAATTAAGTTTCACAGCTTGGCTGTAAGAACAGTAATAATATATACCAACTCATTAAAACTTCAATCAATCTTTCCCCCATTCTTATTTTACAAGGCTCTACACTATTTTATGTACTTTTTTTTATTTATAAGGGAAGCTAGCTTTTCCGCATTCCAATTCCATAACTTTAATCCAAAAATATGTATTCCTTTCTATTATTGTTTAACTGGTTTGAATTTCACACTTAGCAAAAGACAGCCACAAAGAAATACAGTTATAATTACTAAGAGCCTTAACACTGGCCTTGGTGGGGCCACTATTTCATCCTTGGAGCAACAACATGCTGTTAGAATATGATTTTACAATGCATAAATATAGTTATCTGACAGATGACTTGTCTCTTTGGGACAGAGCGAAGCATTTCTGGTGATGCTTGTCCAAACCCTTCTTAAGAGTCTCCACTAATGGAGATCTCCTCTTGGGTATTTTATTCCAATATTTGACTCTTTTTGCTACAAGTTTTTGTATCTAATCTAATCCAGCTGGCATAATTTAAACCCACTACTCATTACCTATCTACTGCAGTGAACAAGCATATATAAATTTATTCTATTCCTTAGTTCTTTTTCCCAATTCTTTCTTTAAGCATGCCATCCCAAATGGGAAAAATGTTTCAGCTGAAGTGTTATCAGCACTGTTTAGAATAATTATTTTTCTTGCTTTACTAACATTATTCCTATTTATATAGTATCAATATGGTGTCTGCTTTTACTCTTAATTCTCGCTTAGCTTGTGATCTACAATACCATACACACAGATTACTCCAACAGGATCATTTAGTCTTGCATTTCTGTTATTGACCCTTCCTACCTAAGTGAAAACGTCAGTGTTTTTCCTCACTGAGTTTCTCTCCAGTTTGACAACAGGTCACTAGTGTTACTCTGTAAGTACCATCTCGCAAACAATTACACACTTTCCTAACACTATATCTAGTCTAAATATGACTACTTTGCTTATGGGATTGTTACAAGGTACATAAAGATATGACATCTACTGCTTCTTCTCTAACCTTAAGGCCTGTTATGCTATAGGAGGAAATTAATTCGGTTTGAAATAGCTCATTTTTTATTAATTTGTTGACTCATGTTCTGTCGGAAAAAATCATCTCAGAGCAGTAAATGTGCTATAAATTCACACAGTTATTTCACAGTGGCTTCCATGTGTACACAGAAACTAAGCTAACAATAAAAAGACTAGGAAAATCACAGTGTTACCAGACACAGCCTGTACTATTTGAATGATGCTTTGAACAGAGGAATTCCCTCTTATTCAAAAAGTAAAGTGGAGGAAGGGGCCAGGGAAGGAGTGGTGAAAAAAGAGCATTGTTGACCCTTCCAAGATGCATTGTCTCTGATTATTTTTTTTTTAATGATAAAAATGCAGCCAATGCAACAGGTTTGTATAAAGAAGCAGTGGTCCCCAGCTGCTTGTTCTGAAGTTCATTCATAATATCAAAAACTAAGTTTTCTTTCAGTTCATTGTTCTCCAAATATGCCGAAACCCCAAACTCTCCCTTGTTAAAGAATTCTTCAATAGGTTTAAATTTAAAATTTGCTACAGCACTCTATTCACACCTACTGCCAAAAAAATGTTATTTTCCTGATGTAAAACTAACCCATAAAGTCTCTTATCTTCAATTAATTTCCCTCAGCTTAATCAGAAAGCAACTTTGCCAATCTTTATGACACATAGAACTCCTCTACTTTTGCTGTCCCTTGGTCATCTAGGAGTTAAAGCACAAACAGCTGCAAAAAAGAAAAGGTCTGCCAGTTTGGTTGATTGACTTAATGAAAGCCTGGTAAGACATTTCAATTTAAGTTTACACCTTTTCCATTTTTAAGTAATTGAGAAAGTTTATTTTATTTGCATATGCTAACATTTAAGGAAAGCAGCAAAAGTTATAAAAAGGTTATTTCAGAACTTAAGTTTTCTTAAGAATTGGATTACTGTGATAACTATTGCACACACTAAATATGTGCATCTAAAATGTCTATATTCTTTCACCATAGAAATATCACAGAACATGACTTTAATTTAGCATAATCACCACTGCCCCATAAACCTACCTCCTTTGGCATGAAGGACAAGAAGCATTGCAAAGCCGACCTTCCCTTTAAGTTGACCGAATACAAATAAGGCTTTGAAGAACAGCAGTCAACCGCTGTCAAACAAAATTCAGAATCAAATTAGAGATGTTATTACAGTAAATATCAACTTTGTAATAGTTGTAGTACTTCAAAGTGATTTCCAACATAATGTATATATCTATACGGTAAACATTTCTCATGAAGTTACAAATGAATTTAGAACTTCTCATAGGGATTCTAGAAGTAATTTTGAGAAATGTTAATCTCTATCAACTTTCATTAAAGTTATTGATTTGGGAAAACACAGTATTTCAGAAAAAACCACAAACCTACTGTCATTTACCTTTGAATAAAGGTGTTAGGCAAAAACAGTTATCTAAATGATAAAAATTAATGCCACAGAGAGGACAACTGTTTTTCTAAATTATTTTTAGGCATAATCTACACAGAAGTCTACCAGTGAGGCTTGCATCATTTTTCAGACTTCCATGTCCAGTTTCAAGGCACTGGCAGAAGTGTGGGTTTCCAATAAAGAAGGTACCATTCCTTTGAGATAAGTATTCATCCCAGAAGACCAACATCAAATTCATCCAGTATTCACCATTTGAACAGTATTGGACCTGACTGGATGTCACACTATTTGTTTCAAGCACACACTCTGATCCAGAAATGATGTGCAATGAGTTAATTCCCATTCTGGCTAGTTGCCTGTTCTAGATAGTCTTACAGTTCTCTTCCAAGTTAAGATGACTGAATTGGAGCCCTCACCTTCCCTTTGAGATCCACCACATGGTAAGAAAACCCTTCTTTTCTTATCAGAATGGTTTTTTGACATTGTCCACATACAGTTCTATGTAAAGATACAACTAAATATTATAACACTGTCTTGCAAAAGAAAGAGTCCTGATTTCCAGAGCTCACAGGGACAAGAGGCCATATAAGCATAGCTGCTAAATTCTCTCATTAATAAAGATGATGGAACAGTAAAGCAGATGCCAGGACTGAAGTAGAAAAGGGATGAGCAACAACGAGTGAAGGATAAGAATCTGTACTAGTTCTATTAAGAAACAAAGAACAGCAATCTAATTCCACATATTGCCCCAATGTCATTCTGAGTTGGGCATCATGCAGAACACAGTTCCTGTGGTTAACCTGCAGACACCCTGCTCCATTAGGAAAAAGAGAAGACCAGGCCCTTATACTGATGTTGAATTAACTGAAGGGCAAACATTGTAAAAACAGAGGGTAAAAGTCCAGCAATTGGAAACTAGTATAGTTGCTCGGCTTGCTTTTTTTGGTATTTATTTATTTTTTTTAATTTTAACTGCTAAGAGGCTATTCAAACTTTTGGTTTTCAACATACCTTAGTAATTATAGGAGGAAAAAAAAAAGGAAAAAAAAAAATTTACAGGGAACCTGACATTTTACAGGCAAACCAAAATGCGTCCTTTTAACTTATATTAAGCAGCACTTGTAAAAAAATTGCTTTAAGTTTTCTTAAATCGGAAAATTTGTATACCAGAAATAGTCTGACAGATTTTCTCTTAGCATTATCCATTCTTTAATGAAAATTCTGATACAGCAAAAGAAAATACCTGAATGGTCATCAGCATGCAGTTTAAAATCATTATACTTAGAAAAATTAAACTCCACTCTGGTACACGCTTGTCCTTTGTTCTGCAGCAGAAAGGGAATTGATTTTGTAGAACCAGCATAAACACCACAGAAGTCAAGTAGTTTCTGTAAGTTTATAGAAAAAAAAAATGGGTTAAAGCACTGTGAAGTCAAGTTTATAATAACAGAATTTAAAAAATATAATTGTTCAAAGATTCACAATTTATAACACAGTAATAGTCTTGGTTAATCAATTGTCTTGCGTTACCCTTATCTTTAAAATATTTCCAGATCATTAAACACATGAGTTTAGAATTCAATATATAAGTCCAGTTACACCATCAGGAAAGTTTTGATTGTTCTATAAACTGATCAGTGGATTTCTTTTCCTTTATTGTTTTTTTTCCCCTATAAGTACCTTAAAGAAATCCTCTCCCTTTTTTACATACTTTTACCAGATTGTCAAGTTCAACAGCTAAAGCTGTCAGCTATCATTTAGTGCTACGGTTATATGTACATTTAGTTTCTAATTTCTCTTCCTAAATTGTTCTCTTTGATAATTTTATCAGGAAGTTAGTATAGGAAAAAGTGAGAATTATGACATAGGGATGAGCCACTTTGACATCTAAGTAAAGCAAAACAGTATTAATCTTACCAATTGCTACAATTTCTTCATACTTACCACATCAATGTTTATTTCAGGGATCTCTACAAATCCAACAATCCTAAGCACTAGTACTCCTGAATTTCGCACTGCTACCTAAGTAAATGGATGAAAGTGCGATCGTTGATAAGGTCATTTTAACATGTCACCAAATCTGGCATAATTACATTAAAAAAAAAAAAAACATTAAAAAAACAAAACAAACAACCTACCCCACAGATACAGAGACACTCAGATTAATTTGCAATGAAGATATGAAAATAGGTCTGCCCTTACAATATAATGTATTTTTGTTATGAAAATATAAAGAGGTGTTTGGCTTCAAAGAAGAACCAATCGTGCCTCTGTGGATATATCTAGGATAGTCATAGATGTCAATTTAAATAAAAAAGAAAACAAACCAACAAACCTAAGTTTTAAGAAAGACTAGTCCTCTGCAGACAAAAATAATGTAGCAGGAGGCTGTATCTCTAGAATGAACAGTTTTCTCCCACAGGAGAAAGCAGAGTGGATGGGTTAGATCTATTCAGCAGCTATAAGGATTGGAAAGTAATGCAAAATCTGTTTTAGAAGCAGGGGGAAAAAATGGATACTAGGTTTAGTGAGCATAATGCAGGCAGGCACAGAAGACAGAGAATCTGAGATGAGAGTCAGAAAAGATAGCAAAAATCAGCCCTATGATAGCATCCTTTTTCCCATTCTCACTTATCTGACCACAGGTAAGTTGAGGGAGCACATATGCAGAAAACAAAATAGGATTACACATTTATTGCACTCCGGTTACCAAATCAAACCCACTAGTAAAACTACTTTTGAGATGACCACAAAAAGAAGTCAAGAAATTAAAGACACTGCAGTATTCCAATCCTACTACTCTATAGATCATAAAAACTGCAGATACGTCTACATAATCTTCTGAAGGTAATCGCACATTAACTTCAAAAGCTTTCCAACAGTATAATATGAATCATCTCAAAGTGAGAGGCTGTTTTGATTCTTCAGAGCAGGACTGAGACCAAAATAACAGAATAGGTTATAACAGCCATCATCTGCTGTAAGAAAACCTTTTCCCTTGAAAAACATTAGAAATTTGGAGATAAAATCCAGAAGATTCTCAAACGTATAAATCTCTCCACACATAAACACAAAACATAACACTCAAAAGACAAAGTTCTTCTGGTTTTGAATACCTCTACTCCTGTATCAAAAGTCATTTTTGCAGTCGGAGTGAAACAAAGTTTGAGATCAGCATGGCCTCCCACAGGTACCACCCCTTCAGAAGGAGTGATCATCATTCCAGGGAGTGGGTTTGTATCAAGAACCTTCAAAACACAAACATGAAACATTAAAAATACTGAAAAAGGTGGTAGTGTTGTGTTGTTTGGGTTTACTTTTTTTAAAATATACCAATATGTCTATCATGAAGTTTTTGCATTCTTACAAGAACCTTCATAATATACAACACTAACTTGAACTTGGAAGTTTGGGCAAAAATACAGGTAAACAAAATAAAGTAACATATTCCAAAACATGATGACTGTCACTTTCTATGAAATAATTTTTGTACATCTGTTGAAAATGTCATATTCCATTTTTCATGTTGTTATTAAAATTAAGACTTGCTATCTAGCAAGTCTCCAGAATATTCTACAAAGCATTTCCACAGTGACAGATAAATTCATCACTTCTTTTTTGCCATTCACAGTAAGCAGACAGGGCATAGGATCCTAATACTGTAAAATTCAGTAATAATACTAGAAGTATTTAGTTTACCCACAATTAGCAACGACAAAATAGAATTGGTTTTCTTCTAAAGCACTCCAGATAACTTTTTTAAGTGTAGCTACAAAAATGATAATGACCAAGACCAACCAGTTATCTCTTGGATTAAGAGTAATTGCTGAGGCTTAAAAGGCTGGGTATGTTTGTTGCTTTGTCTTATCGATTATGCTGATTTTATTCTTTCAGGTCCATCCTCCAAGTGTGCAGTAACATAACTTGTTATTACAGTGCTTGTTTGAAAATATGGTATCTGAGAATATGGTACAAATCAAGCTTCTTACTACCATAATAATGTATTAGCAAAAGTTCTGATGATTTTATTGAAATTTTGCTTAACTAAATAAATACAGCAAATTATTCTGTGATCAGGAGAACTAACGAGATTAAGTTTCCTACTGATTTGTGTGTTATGTCTTTACCCATTATGGTATCCATCTCATCTCTTATCCAATTCATAATACAGTCTCCCAGATGCTAGTCTAGCAAAGTAATCACATTTGCTGTGGCTGGTCTGGGTCTATGCATGTGCTGACTGGGCAGTCAGTATGAACAGGATGACTAGTCAGTTTGGTCTGTCTCTCAAAGTATAAAAACATCCAAGCTGTAGCTGCTTTTTCATAGGGTACACCAGTATGGGGTTCTACCCTCATCACTGGTGCTCATGAAACTTCCAGAATCTTTTAGACCATTACCTGTCGATCCATCTATCCATCAATCCAAATTTGACAGAGGGACAGAATTCCTACTCACATAAATCTTGTTTCTTCAGAAAACCAGACAAAAACTTAAGTAGGTGTGTATGTAATAACTGAGAACTTAAAACTGCAACATGAACTAGTAAAATGAACTCCTTTCTTCCTCCCCACGCGAAGAAATTAAATATGTAAAAATAATTTTAGCCTACTTGGAAGTACGCGTGATTGGATCCTGTATTTCGAAGAATGGCTGTCCTAAAAGTAGGTAAATCGATTGGACTATGACTGAAGGGTATCCTTTGTTCCACAAACTGAACTTTAGTAATGCCAAGCTATGAAAAAGAATAGAAAAAAGCAAACTAAATAGCATATTACTAAGTAAAAATAAATAATTCAGCCTAATTTTCTTTTCATTACATAATGAGCTAATATATTTGTGGAAATGCATAAATTAGAAGTATTCAAATAGACAAACAGGCACATGAAAAGGAAGGGAAAAGTTTTCTTGTTCCCAAAACGGAAGTTCTAGAACATGCAGCCAGTAGAATGCAGTTTAAAAAAAAAAAAAAAAAAAAAAAAAAAAAAAAACAAAAAAAAAAAAAAAAACCTCTCCCATTTCCACCCCCCGGCAT